GCTTGGTGGATTATACCCTCTGTGCGGGAGGAGGTCTTTACCCAGCAGTGGGTCATGAATAGGCTGATACTTTACTTCTTTACATTTTACTTTACTTTACTACGTAACCAATAAAGTGCTTATTTGCTGAAGCTGCTGTACATTTTTCTAAGACAATGGTGAGTTTACTTTTCCAAATTACACAATTTAAGTATTACTCTTTCGATTATTTCTTGCATGCAGCCTGCACATTAATTTTTATTAGTATTACTCTTAAAAAAATTATTCCGTTTTGTTTCTTTTTATTTAATGGCAGTGTGTAGAGGTTATATTCTCTTTGCTACACTAGCTAGCTTTAATAATAAATTCGCTACGTAACACTACATGGCACCAAAAAACTAACAAAAACAACTTTTGTGTTGGTAAATTGAATTTTGAAAAATATTACTTTTGGCTCATTTGTTATTTTTATAATAAACTAAAACTTATTGCATCGATATGTTCACCATTATATCGCTGTATATCATTCGCACTGGCATTTTGTATGGCGTATATAAATTTTGGGCTCACTGAAAATAAGAGTTCTTAATAATTTTATTTGTTAGATTAAAGTGTAATTAGGTCCGGATCTATAAAGTTCATAATTATCATGTGACCTAACTTTGTAAAGACTTAGCAGCAGCGGCAGCTCTCGGTTGACTGCTCCCGAAAGTTGGTGGCTCCAACGTGTTCGTGAGGCCTATGGCCCTGTACGGTGCTCCCGTCTGGGCCGACACCCTGAATCGCCTGACCATGGTGCTTCTGCGCAGACCGCAGAAGGTGTTGACTATACAGGCCATACGGGGCTACCGAACGATATCTGGTGAGGTGGCGTACGCTCTGGCAAGTTCTCTTCCCTGGGACCTAGAATCCAGCGTCCTCGCGTCACTTTACTTCTAGAGCAAGGAGGCGATAGCCCGGGGCCACCTGCCAGCCTTAGAGGAGTTGAGGGTGTACAGACCCGAGACCGTCGCCGAGTGGGAGCAGAGGCTGGAGCACCCCAGTGCCCGCCTAAGAACCATAGAGGCGACCGGTACTCAGTCGATGGTTGGTCAGGCGTCACGGCACCCTCACCTACCGGGTGACGCAGGTTCTCTCGGAACATGGCTGTGTCGGGAGACACCTGTGCCGCTTGGCGGGGAGGTAGCCAACCGCGGTTTGCCACCACTGCGATGTATGGGCCGAGGAGACAGGCCCAACACTTACTGGAGGAGTGCTCACCCTGGTCGCGCCGGGGTTAGCGGAAGATTGCGTTTTCGTGTTCCCGTGCAACGTGGGTCTTTTAGTGGGTACCCCGTAACTCCCTCATACCCCTGCTGCCTACCCACAATTCGACGGGGGATCCATAAAGGATATTATCTACGTAAAAAAAAGTATAAACACTTGTCCGTTGCTACCACTGGCCACTGTACTTGAATGCGCTACGCGCTACTATCCTCTGTGTCGGACTTTACAAATAAACGTATCCTGTGCATGTACTAAACATACAAAATACAACGTAATTTGAGGCATTTTTGTTTATGATAAGAATATGGGAAAACATGTGGAGCATTACCGCGTCTTATTGCCTCTCTCAAAATCTTGTTGGTGACTTATCATTGCTGGCAGATGAAGTAGAATCTAAATCAATTTTTCACAATTTTATGTAATACTAGCTTTTCGCCCGCGCCTCCGCTTGCGTTGAAACCCGTAAATAAATATCTTCCTTTAAAAATTTTTCTTTTTTCTTTTATAAATATCTTTCTTTTTTTTAATAAAAAGAATCCTATGTCCTTTTTAATACCTCTAAGAATATGCGTACAAAGTTTCATGTTAGTCGGTTTAGATGTTTTAAGAGTAAGTATTATAAGAGTAGGGATAGTTTGTTAACATAGGTACACTTCAAGTTCAACTCTCAATATAGAAGAATAATATATAATATGTAAAGATGTGTATGATGACATCGGACACCGGATGAATCGTTATGGAAAAAAATAAAAATGATCACTGTCAATCATAATATAACTTTCATCCTTTGTATTGATGCCACATAGTAGCGTGAAATTCCTGATACCCTACCTACATACGAAGTGGCGTTTCATATAACTTTCAGATACTCTAACTGCAACTATGATCATATTTTACCCTTATGGATAACATTTTTATAAACTCTGAATGCCACATTTATTTATATCTGTGTATCAAATTTCATTTAAATCGGTTCAGTGGTTTTGGCGTGAAAGCGAGACAGATAGACAGAGTTACTTTCGCATTTATAATATTAGTTTGGGAGCCGGCAGGAGGGAATATTTAAGATGCAGTACAAATAACAAGCAGAGTTGAGAAAACCATAATATTGTTGCGAACACACAAAGAACAAAGAAACTAGCGCCATCTAGCGTCAACCAGTAAAACCACTCAAAGAACAAAGACAACATAAAACCCTATACTCAATACTAGATGGCGTTAGAGGAACTACTGTGGAACTATAGTCTCGAAAACCGGGTACATTCTAGAATCACGATCACGTTCCAGGAAGGAACTTTCTGGAATAGTCTGCGACTCGTCTCGGTCCATATAAAAAGCGGCAGGGAGGTGAGCCAGCACAGTTCAGTTTGAGCTATCTTCGAGACGACTTCGGAGTGAAAACTAGTGATCAAGAGCGATACCAATGAAACCTACGACTTGGGAAAAAATGAAACTTACAACCTAGGACATCGTTAGTGGTTAGTGTTTGGACCTAGTGCTTTGTGTTGGACCTAGTGCTAGTGAATAAATTCTTCAAAAGAGTCAGCAGGTCTTTCTCTCCAAATCCTCCGAACTCTAACACGTAACAATATTTTGTCACTGGTTACTATGGTTATACAAAGAGAATGTAATCACTACGTTTATTTACGTTTACGTTTTGTGGTTATATGTCAATATTAGGGTAATGCTAGACCAGATGAGAGTTAGGGTACATAAGACAAAAGCGGTGCTACACAGTAGCAAATGAGTCGCCACATCACCACCACCCTACGGAGAAAAATAAGTACAAATAGAAAGCAAAACAAGAATAAAATGTAACAATCAAATAGTTATACATTGTTATTATAAAAGTACAAGCAACATTCTTTAGGATAATTTTTAGATAACTAATGGAGTTTTAATTTATACAATGAAAAAATTAAACATTGGACACTTAAAATTGGATAAACTCTGCTAACTAAAAAAACGTATTAAAAACTAGCACTTATAAATCTAAAATATCTTTAAATTAAACTTTGCGACCTGACCGGGTTGATACAGGCTGTGCGGGCGTTTTTATGGGCACGGTCGTTTGGCTAATAGGAGGTGAAATAGTCGGAAGGACTGAGGGCTCCGGTGCCAAGATGTTAGGGGACGGAGTGCTGTCTGGGTCAGGTGCAATATACGCAGGTTTTGTTCTATCGATGCTAACCTCAGATCTTCGGCCAGAAATATCTAAGGAAAGTGTCTTATCAGATCTCTTCAACACTCTGTAAGGGCCTGTATAAGGTGGCTTTAGGGGGCGTTGGACGGAATCTTCGCGTAGGAACACGTTAGTAGCATCAGATAAGTCCTTGAAAGTGAAAGTTTTACGATTCGTCTGACGTGATGCTGGAACGGGGTGAAGTGCTGCCATCCGTTTTTTCAACTGTGCAACCAAATCATCGTCCACGGTCTGAGGAGTTTTTTAGTGCCGCCCTGATTCCGAGAACAACGAAAGGTAGGGCATTGTACCAAGAACTTTTGTGACACATCAAAGCGACCTTTAAATGGCGGTGGAAACGCTCTATCATCCCGTTAGCTTGGAGATGATAGATCGTAGTACGAACGTGTTTTGTGGCTCCTAAATCCATCAGTCTGTTGAAAAGTTGGAACTCGAATTGACGTCCCAGGTCAGTAGTGACTGTGATCGGTACATCAAAACGAGCGATCCAGCCATGGGTAAATTGATCAGCGACTTCTATGGCGGCTATGGACTTCATGGGCCACACTTCGGGCCAGCGTGAAAAGCGGTCTATTGCTGTTAGGCAATACATGAAACCGTTTGAAGAAGGCATCGGTGCAATAATGACCAGGTGAACGTGACGGAATCTGCCTAAAGGTGTGCTAATGTTGCCAAGCGGGGAAACGACATGGCGCGTTAGCTTGTTGATCTGGCAGGCGAGACACTCGCGTGCCCAGCAGCGGCAATCTTTACTACCAATTATCATAACTTTCATTCCTCTTTTTTGCCCGTTTATAACTCTTTTTTCCAAAAATAGCCTATGTCCTTTCTCAGGCTCTAGACTATCTATGTACCAAATTTCATTTAAATCGATTAGGTAGTTTTGGCGTGAAAGCGAGACAGACAGACAGAGTTACTTTCGCATTAATCATATTAGTATGGATTAACATCGCCAAATAAAGTTTTATTGTTTATACGGCAGGTGAAAACAAATAATTTAAGTCGCGCTTTATGTTTATTATAGCAATATTTTAGTGTTAGAGCTACTTTAGATTACAGAAACTGCTGCATTAGGCTACTTACGCCAGAAAAATGGCGACATCAGGCCCTACATTGTTCGCAGAACTGATACAAAGTTTATATCGTTAATTTGTTATTTGTTGACTCATTGATTTATCCAAAGAGTATTTTATATATCTCAAATTTAATCTGCTCATCGACTGTCAAACTGACTGTCTGTCAAGTTTCAAGTGTGAGTGTCATTTTAATGAAGCTTCTTACGAAATACGAATTAAAGACTTGTTTTAATATATTATTTGTGAGAAATTAAGTTCGAAAAATGAGTCGTTCTTTGAAAGCTCTTATTGGACCTTCCATTCTGAACTCAGACCTATCCAAATTATTTGAAGAATCTCAAAAGTTATTAGATAATGGAGCAGACTATTTGCATTTAGATGTAATGGATGGACATTTCGTCCCCAACTTAACCTTTGGGCATCCAATCGTGAAATGTTTGCGTAATCATATTAAAACCGCCTTCTTTGAAACTCATATGATGGTTTCAAAACCAGAACAGGTAGATTTAATTTACGTGTATACTCTTAACAGCCCAATCATTTTTATATAAATAATTGAAACATTTTAGGTCCGTCCTTCTACTGAGTACACAAAATTAAAACGTTATAATTATAGATCTTTTTAAACACCGTAAAATTAAATGGTTATGGTTAAAAGGTAATATTAATTGAATCTGAAATGTTAACAGAAAAAAATAATTTTAGTTTTACATTATTCTTGTGCTAATTATTTTTGTTTGTTATAGTGGATAGCGCCTATGGCTGATGCTGGGATAAACCAGTACACATTTCACATTGAACCTGTTACTAATGTAGATGAAGTTTGTAGAAAAGTTAAAGAACATGGAATGAAGGTAATCATTAAGACGTACAGCTCAAATTTAAAAAAAAATTGTAAGCAATTATTAAAAATAAATATGTATAAAGTAATAATATCAAAATAAATTTATCAATTAAATGAATTATAAATATTTTCCACATTTACACAGTTTCTAGCCCCTAACTAAGCCAATAGTAGTAGTATGGATACTATGTTACTGATAAGTAAAGTAAAGTAAAGTAACAGCCTATACATGTCCCACTGCTGGGCAAAGGCCTCCTCTATACAGAGGGTATCAGGGCATAGTCCACCACACGGCCCCACTGCGGATTGGCGGACTTCACATATCTTCGAAATATGTTTTGTTATTATTTCGAAAATATGCAGGTTTCCTCACGATGTTTTCCTTCACCGCGGAGCACGTGATAAGTCAGCACTTAAAGTTAAAAACTTCATTGGTGCCGGCACCGGGGATCGAACTCAGGTTGCTCGAGTATATTGAATTAAAGGCCAGCGCCCGGACACTGAGCTATCACCGCTCTGTTACTGATAAACATATATACAAATACCCAGGTACTAGAAAAAATACTATGTTTATCACCAAATAATGTTCTAGTATTGAGGTAAATCATCCCACCCACACCTCAGGTGTATGAGAAGGGTCACTATCCCAATCTGATTGTAAAATATTGTATATTTGTTATATCTATATAAAGTAATTTTAACTGAAATCCTTACTATAAATATTATGATATTGATTCTCAGTCTTCCAGATAAACTAAAATTAAAATGCATTAATTTTTAAGGCAAACACATCCTTGGGTGTTTATTCAAAATGTATAATTGTGATTACTGCTTTTTTTTTTTCAAATAATTTCCATAAATCTTGACAAATAAGAAACCAATGTGTATAGGTTTCAGTCAGCATACATTTGAGACCAATTACTAAAATGGCATTTGCAGTAAATCTTTGAATACAATAATTGGCTATAATTTATTCTGATATTATAATATATTGAAGACAGTTTTGATAAAATTATTACATGCTCATATATTATAAAAGCAATCTAACACATTTAAAGGTATAAATAATATTTCGTTTTTAGCATCTCTGCTTCACTCTTAGTTTTATACTTTTAGGTTGGTGTAGCTATTAAACCTGGTACTCCAGTAGAGGAGGTAGAAAAATACATTTCTATTGCAGACATGGTGCTGATAATGACTGTGGAACCTGGATTTGGTGGTCAAAAGTTTATGGAAGATCAGATGTCTAAGGTTAAATATTTAAGGGAACATTATCCTTTACTAGATATTGAAGTAGATGGTGGAGTTGGACCATCAACAATAGATTGCTGTGCTAGTGTAAGTTTTTTAGAGTGTTCAATCTTATTGTTTATTAATATATTTCTTTTTACTATAACCGTAATATTGATACTTAACATTTGCAATACTTCCACTGGAATGAAGACATGTTTATGTTCTTTATTATCTATATCATACTTTGTTACTAGCCTGTACTGTTAATCATTATACCAAAACTAATTCCATGTTAATATTATTTTTATAGGCTGGAGCAAACATGATTGTCTCAGGAACAGCTGTAATAAGGGCTCAGGATCAGGCAGCTACAATAAACTTACTGAGAGATACAGTGCAAAGGGCTATAAATAAAAAATGAAGCCTGTTTTGAGGTTATTATTTATAAGTTAATGGAAGGGCTAATTCATATCTATAAGGGATAGTTAATAGTCATGTTATTATATTGAATATCATTCATATCATTGTCATTACAGAAGTGTCATAACATAAGGGTGGGAATGTAATTATTAAAACATAAGGGACCACAGTTTTCCAAATTTTTTTGTATGTTATTCATGGTCTATTAATAATTTAATTTTAAGCTGAATGGATTTAGATTAAGAAAAATATTGATTTTCTTAAAAAAATTACTACATTGTATTTATATTGTTTTCCATTTTTTCTTTAAGAAAATGATAAATATTGTAAAAAATAAAATTTGTTTTTATTTAAATTTATTTTTAATCAAATCTACTTAAATCGGGGTTCTTTTCAGTTGGTGAACTGGCATCAGTTTTTTGCATAGGGAATATAGAACTGGTGGCAATACCAGAGTCTTTGAAAATTATTGGTTCATTTTCTGCTTTTAACTTGTTTCTTAAACTGGAAAGGGCAACAAGCACAGCTTCCTCCGTTCTTATTGTTCTCGATCCTTGATTAGGCAAAACATTAACATAATGATTGAACAACAAAGCAGCTTCATCTACTTTCAATTGTTCATCACTTTCAAGAGCTGCCTCAATACCATGTACTCCGCCAAAAACAATTAAGGCATGATTATATGGGACTCCCTTATCTGGGAGATTTTCTATAGGAGTACCACGGTCTGAAGTTCCAATAGTTATATCATATCTGTGAAATAAAAAAAAGCAAATACTGTTAAAAAAGCTAATTTGTAACTTAATATTTTTGTGTACCAAAATTAAAAAAAGCTAAGCTATTTTTATAAATGCTCAAAATACAAAATAATATCATTAATGTAACACTGGTTATACTTATATAAAAATAGGCTAAGTCGAAAGCTAATATAGGTAATTAGTCTAACCCATCCTTGTAGGGGCATTGGGTGAACACTTGGCTCAAATTTGTAGCAATTCTGACTGTATAACCCCAGTACACTCCTGTTTCAGCTCGTGGTGTTGTAAGGCTAACAATCTTGCCTTTCAATTTTTTACTTCCCTCTAAAGTTTGAAGCATTTTTACAGTAACTCTTATTCCTGGATTTAATAACTTATCAGTGGATACATCCTGCAATAAGCCAACATTTACTTGAGACCCTCTACCAGGTTTTACCTTTTTATTCATTGTTATTCCTTCTCTGAAATAAAATTCTTATTAAATAAAATACAACTACTTTATTAATGGCCAAAATACATTATGATGTGCAGTTTTAACTCAAACATTTAAGTTAATACATATTAAAATGTTCCTTACCGAAATTTAAAATCATTGGACATTCTTAAATGATGGGGTGCATCTAAAGGATTTAAGAGTCCGGCAAATTCCAAATCCTTGTGTAAGGGGAAAAAATGTTTCCTTAAATATTGTGGACATTCTAAATACTGAAGAATACGAGCCAATTGTACGCAACTTTTGCGGGCTACTTTGATACCATCAACATCTTCTAATTTCGCCTTTTTAGTGTTAATTTTGTCACCAATATCATCGTATACAACTACTTCGTCAATACAAAAAATACATGCCGCTCTCGCAATTTGTCCCGCTAAATATGTGCGTAGTTCCGCCGATTGTGCATTTTCTAGTATAGATCCTGGAATAGCTATACTAATTGTAGAAATTTCGGCGTTTTTCTTTTCTATTTCTGCTTCTTCTTTAGCTTTCTGTTCCAAATCATTTTCTAGAGCTAACCTTTTTTCACGTTTTAGTATTTTTTCTTCATTTCGTTGACGTTTTAACGTTTTTCTTTCTTGATTAATTTCTCTCCAACTCTTTCCTGGGGGTTTAGCAGAAATCAATGGAGCAGACATAATTTTTTTGTTAAGTTTTGTAAACAAATCTAAACAAACGCATTCGCTCGCGTAAATTTTTGAGTGCTAAACTGCTAATTAGTAGAAGCAGAGTCGTGTTGCATATCGATAGTCTGCTATCGATAGATAATCGATAGTTAGTGTAAAAGCAATAGTATCGATAGTCTATCGAAAGTATTGTCACGTGTCAATACTATCGATAGTATCGATTTTCAGCCTTTAACGGCTATTGATAGCTATCGATAGTACAAACCTATCGAGGCTATCGATAGTCTCGATAGTTTTTGTCAAAAACTAATGGCAATTGCAATACTATCAATACCATCGATACTAGCACATGCATTATTATCGATACTATCGATAGTATTGCTGTTATCAATAGTATTGGCACTTGGAGAGTTATCGATACTATCGGTAGTATCGACAGTATTGACTTAGACGATATTATCGATAGTTTAATCGATATCCTGAATAGTTTTCGAGGTCAACTATCGATAGTCAAACTATCGATGGTTGTGCAACACTAAAGCAGAGCATATAATTTATAATATAGGAGTAGGCGATATAATACAAATCGTATATAGATACGAAAACTATATATTGGTTCAATATCTAAAAATCGCTTACTACTCGTTCGTTTAGGTATTACAATTTACAATATAATTTGATGCTTCAATGTATCGATGCCGATATTGATAGTTTTATAAATATTGATATATCGATATTTTTTCAACTTTCGGCATCCCTAGTGTCAACTCTATTATACGTGAAATTAGGGATGACGAAAAATTATCGATATATCGATATTTTTGGGCGATATATTTTGATCCGTTAATTTTTTCTGATAATATTTTAACCGTGATAAATTAAAAAAAATGTGATTTTAAATATAGGAAGTTTGGAATTATTTTTATGGGAAAAAAGCTGCAAACGAGCAGGAGGCTCACCTGATGGTAAAAATATCGTTTTTGATACGATTTCAATATTCAATTTTTTATATCGATATATCGGATCAAAATATCGATATATTTTTTAAAAAATATCGATATATTGATATTTATCTCTAAACGTAGTGATTACATTCTCTTTGGCTTGACACCCCTTGATCAACCAACAGCCAAAGAGTACTTTTATATATCTGACAACAACAGCTTTCATTTATTAACAAATAACAAATAACCCTAAAAAAGGTAAACACAAAATATAACTATATACCTTATAACTATAATGCATAAACTGTTAAGTGATTGAATAATTCAATGATTGAATTATGGTTTAAAGATAAAATCTTCAAATTAAGTTTATAAGAAAAATAATTAATGTAGCATACCTACCGAATAAACCGTGATTGAGGCTCTCGCTGCTACTTTCATGACCTTGAATAGACCGGCGTAGCTTCTCTCTGCAGTAATATTTATTCTACATATAATCACTATATATGCTTACTACTACTCAGTTCCAGAGCATTTGCCGGTAATTTTTTCGGTATTGCTTTAGTGTACGGTAGCACGTGTAATGTGGGGGAAGGGGGCGGGTCGGAAGTGGTGAACACCCCTGTAAGAGGGGGTGGGTGCAGAAATGTATAGTTTCTGAAATATATTAAAAAAGGTATCCTAACCTATGCAATGTTACTATGGTGGTATTTATTTAGAAACAGGCAGATGTGGGGGGAGGCGTCTCATTAGCACTGCTACGTAGGGCTCTATTTCTGGGTGGTTATAAAAAATTACCATGAAGGCTAAGGTGGGAGCTTGGAGCGGGGACACGGGGACTTATGCAATAAAATATTAAATTATTTCTGTTTGTTTACGTCATAAAGTCATAAAATAATAACCTTTTATGTTAACATTCACTTCTTAATCTTTCTTTCATTTCTTAACATTCATTCTTTCTTACAAATAAATTTACAGTTAATATGTTATTATGTTTGTTACTACTCGAAACAATGAGGTCACTTACTTTTCCTGCAACTTTGTAAAGTATTGTTCAATATGTTAATTAATTTTTTTTATGGTTTTTAACATATATTTTAAACAACATAATATACCTATTAAATAAAACTTAAATTCTAAATGATCTAATACCTAAATAATAATAAACTATAAAAAAAGTTTGCTGTTGCATGTTTTTCCATTGATAAAAACATATACCATACATACATATACCTAATTACGGGCAATTTTAAAGAAAATTCGAAGTTTTCTGTAATGCACTTAACTTTTAATAACTAACAGGCTAAATAGAGTTATAAAAAATGAGTTTTATTTTGTACTTAAAATACAGCTTACAGGTATTTAGGACACATTTTTACACAACATTCTCTAGTCCCAAACTATAATCATTGCTTGTACTATGGGTGCTAGATAACTGATAAACATACTTAAACATACTTTTCTTTTGTAAATAAACATGTATTATACATATAAACACCCAGACACTAGAAAAACACTACATTCATCATGCAATATTTTTCCAGTAGAGGGGATAGAACCCACACCCTGAACCACCTGGCACAGAAGGCAGGTACTACTACTACCAACTATGCCATTCAGGTTGTCATATATTATGAAAATTTAAAATTAAATGTTACAGTAAAATTTCTTTTCTCATTGCAAGTAAAATTTATTACATGACGTTTAATAATGACTTCGTAATTACATAGCTGTTAGTACATAAAGCAAAACCCGTGGATCCCTTTTTTATTAATAAGATAGCAATGAATGACTAGTAGTCAAGATAATAACATCATTTTGTGGGTCCTATTGTTTTTCATTTCTCATTATATTATTAATGTAAAATATAAACAAGATTGACCATTAAAGTTGTTTACGTACTGTATACTCTTTGCAATGATATTATTATTTTCATCATTTCTGTTAATATATTACAGGGTTTACTAGGTATAATTCAGCACAGGGTTGGCAATATTTTGTAGTATTACTATTAGTTATTAACTATAACTTGTTAATGTTTAATTTTATTAATTTGAACATCATTAAGGGGAATGTTTTTCAATTACAGATAATAATTTGTATAAACTTGCAATATGTACTTAATTTTTACTGTGGTAGGGCGCCGCAGCAGCCATTGCATAAATCGGCAGGTTTGTCTGGGTAAGTATGATATCCTCACAGAACACCAATCTGAAGGAGATAATTATACTGTTGTAGGGCCATGCAACAGTTTCCACTGTTGCAAAAATAGGCATGTCCATTCGGATCAGTACCACAACCTCACAAAAGACCGGCGTGAAAAGGATATGCTATAATTCTGCATTGCGTCTGGTGAGAGGTAGCCTGGGCTCACTTTATCAAAAGGTGGCCATCTGTGGCGGATGTCACTTAACATTGGGTGAACCGCTATCTTGTCAGCCACCTTCTCATATAAAAAAAATATATTTTATTTTTGCGTTTTGTCTCGTGAGTGAGGTAACAGGTATCCACTTTTTTATTGGTTGGCAACACATCTGCTACACTGCCAACTATTTGCGTAACAGAGAATTTTATTCTTTATGCTCATTCTGAAATGAATGAATCATAATTTGTACAAATTAAGACAATTTGAAGAATAAATGCTATTGTGAACTATAAATTATTGGCTTTTTGTTATCAGAAATATACTAAAAATATTAAAAATTTAAAATATTTGAACACCTTACTTTAACAACCCTATTTCCATTTATAAATAAAATATCTTTGTACTTGTTATCAGGACCCCTGTTGGAGAGGTCAAGACAACATTGCTTGAAACTATTTAGAGTTGTGCCAGATTAAAACTAAACATTGAATTGTTAAGACATGGCAGCTAATGGTAAACTAGGTATGTCTTGAGAATTTAAAATATAAGTAACCAATTAACTTTTAATACATTTTACAATTAGTCATTATTTTCTGATGAAAGTAATAATAATAATACTTTATTTTAACAAGTATAAAATATTTTTTATAAGTAGTTGTAATTTTTACAATAAATAAACCTTATTGATCACATGACAATTGATTGACATCAATTAACCTCAATCTCTAGTTTTTTTAATTTCTTTTGGTTTATAGCTCTTCTCAGTGTGTCAGATAAGACAGGTCTTTTGCCACTGGCAAAATGCCTGTCAGACATTGGTCTCGGCCTAGTGGGCAGTGGGGGGACCGCAGCTGCCCTGCGCAATGCTGGCCTCAACGTGTTGGATGTGTCTGATATTACGGGAGCCCCAGAGATGTTAGGCGGAAGGGTCAAATCTTTACACCCCGCAGTCCACGCCGGGATTTTATCTAGGCATGTATAAACTTTATCGCCCTAATTAAGTCTAATCTAAATTTCGTGATTCAAGGTCAACGGGATCTACCATATAGGGTTTCAACCTAAAACCTTTATGGTACTTCCGGTTGACCTAGAATTGTTGAATTTTGCTTAAAAGCAAGGTCTTACGGCACAGGTAAAGGGAAAATTCAGAAAAATAAAAAAGTTGAAAATTAAGTTAAATTTTTGTACTTTGAAGTTTTCGCGAAAATCTACTACTACTATTTCAGTCTATGATCCCCTAATACAATATGTTGTATTTGTGTCGAAAGGGGTTGGGTAGTAAGTCTCAATGCCCACTGTAACCTAGAAGTTTTTTTGTGGTCTAAAAGTTCCAAGCAAGTATATAACACTAGTGACCCACCCTCGCTTCACACAGATGCAATGTATTATACATATAAACCTTCCTCTTGAATCGCTCTATCTAGTAAAAAAACCGCATCAAGATCCGCTGCGTAGTTTTAAATATCTAAGCTTACATAGGTACAGACAGACAGCGGGACAACTTTGTTTCATACTGTGTAGTGATGCTAAGCTAACCTATTTTCATTCGCTCCGTCGCACAGGCTTACGGATTCCGACCAGGCGGACATGGAGCGTCAGAAGTTCGACATGATCAGCGTGGTGGTGTGCAACCTGTACCCCTTCGTGGAGACGGTCTCGAAGGCCGACGTGGCGCTCGCCGACGCCGTGGAGAACATCGACATCGGCGGCGTCACGCTCCTGAGGGCGGCCGCCAAGAACCACGACCGGGTGACCGTTATTTGCGACCCGGCGGATTATGAGAAGGTCGTCGCCGAGCTGAGGAGCAGCGAGCGCCACCAGACTTCGGCCGAGACGAGGTTCGCTTGTTTTGATACTGAACGCTGTTGTCCTGGTATTTAGCTGAATGGGAGTAGGAGTTTTTTAAACAAGCATAGCACTGTCATCGGCCATCGGGGTCACGGTCCGCACCGAACCTCGATGGCCCGTAGGCGACATGCCGTAATTAACGCACGTGTACATGCGCGGCCCTACCCACTGAGGAGGGCCTCAAATCTGTCGGTTCTGGCTAGCCCACCGTTTCTGCGTTCGATGAAGCTTTAATAGTCTAAGGGCTAAAAGCGTAACATCCAACAGTTATACAGTAGGTTTTTGGTGTTTTTTTTTTAATTATACCATCCTATCAAGATCCGAGGCCATGTCCCGTTTAAGCTAAATCGTATGACATGGTCTAAGGTCGTTGATATATCAATTTAATTCAGGCTTGATTGTTACGTATACCCCCATAATGGAGCGGAGTGGGTTCACTTATTAAGTTGTCGAGGAAAGAACCGGATGACATGTTCCGTTCTAGCATAGTGTTTTTGAAGAAAATGATATTTCTAAAATAGTATATATTTATGGTGTCAGTAGTTCTTCGGCACTTTTCTATTTCACACAATATCTTGAGCTCGCATAACTTTAATGCCGCTCTGAACTATGTCCTACGTCGCGCAGTGCTTAGTTTATACTTTGTATTTTGACGGTATTAAAGAGCTATAATATGTTGGGTTCGTGGGGCGCAGAACATTGACCTAGCCCGCCGAGAGCTCAATGTCCCGGAGCCGTTTAGCTTAGTGATTAAAACTTCTATAAAAATTACATTTCATACTAGCATGATAATTCTTTTTGGCGGTGTAACCTATCAGTTTTGCTTTGACTAAAGGTGCATGCATCCATCAAATGCTGCAATCCCCTTTCAGACAAAGGTTGGCGCTGAAGGCTTTCACCCATACGTCTGAGTACGACCTGGCCATTTCGGACTACTTCCGTAAGCAGTATTCTGCCGGCCAGTCTCAGTTGACCCTGCGATATGGTAAGTTTTCTTGCGAGTTGTTTAGTCTATACGGTTATACGGATATACAGTCGGAACGGTTATACGGTCTATACGGATCTCTGAGCGTCAATATGATATTCTAAGAGAGTCCGTGGTATACATTTATCTCTAAAGTTCATGGCCGATGACGACCCGATTGGCGTAGTCGATAGTAAACCTCGAGCCGAATGTGTCGAACATAATTTTTTCTGTTAATAAATGATAAGTATATATTCCCGATGATGAACATCGGGAATGGCTTCGTCTTCGTCAAACAATGATTTTTTTTACAGAAACTAAAATATTAAAAAACATTTCAAATGGCACCTGCAGGTTATTTCCTTAAATAAACAACTTTTTTTGAATGCATCAGCAGTAATAAGTAATGCATTAAGTATGTATTTTTTTATCTGCTTCAGACATATATGTCCGCCATTGTTTTTCTGGAAGAGATTGCTATGAAACAATAAGGTCACCAAATTGTGCATTGTGCATAGTTGTTACTTATTATAGAAAGAAATTGCTATAAATTATTTCAAATTTATGTTCTTACAATCTATAATTACAAGTTCGGTGATTATTTTCAGGCATGAATCCGCACCAGAAGCCCGCGCAGGTGTTCACCACGAGGGACCGCTTGCCGCTGACGACGCTGAACGGCTCCCCCGGCTTCATCAACCTCTGCGACGCCCTCAACGCGTGGCAGCTGGTGGCAGAGCTGAAGGCAGCCCTGGGGCTGCCAGCCGCTGCCAGTTTCAAGCACGTGTCGCCAGCCGGCGCTGCCGTCGGGCTGCCTCTGAACGATGAAGAGGTATTGTATGGAGGGGAAATTGGACGCGAATAAGACCGATGTCTCCACGTAAGGAATTCGAAACCTCGACTTATGGGTTCCAGATGGCTTCCAGGCCGGTATTTCGGAGACTTGAAGCAGGATTATAACAAGTGAAAAATTCCATCCGTTAAATAAAATGTGAATAGGATTTTACTGAGCTAGCGCGCTTACCATCAACGGTTGCCAATTACCATCAGGTGGGATCTATAATAAAAAAAAATGGGAAAAGTTGTTACTATCTACAAGAGATATCCACACAGGAGATATAATAATACACATATTTAATTATAGTATCGTTGTGATTTAAAGTTTTTTATAGTACTAATCTCTGCACTTAAAATTAAACATTAAAACTTGTAGAAAAAGTACGAAAAGATTGTCGCCGCTGTGGGAATCGAGCCCACGTCTTCGGCATTCGCGGCCTGACGCTTTAGCCACTAAGCTAAACGGCTGATTGCTACACTGACGAAAATCTTAACTTCGTTTATCTACATTGTTATATAGCATTTAAAGCAATGCTTGGCGCGTCTATTGTTATATCCTTTCCAGCGTTCTACCATTATAAATTTAATGATGGAACCATTATAAACCAAATAGAAGTATACAATTTAAATTTATACTAGTTAACCCTTGCGAAAAAAATTTCAATACAATGACATACATTCTTTATTTATAAGACCTTCTTTAACGAAATTTTTTTTAATGTCGGTCTTATGGTCTTATTTTCGTCATCAGCGGTAAACATACACTTTAAAATGGTGTTTGAATAAACATATTTGTCGAGTAGTTAGTTATTATCGACAAAGTAACATCTTTGAGAAATAATATACTTACATATAAAAATGCTCATAGCCATTTATTCTAAACAGAATGGGACCGTCGGAGAGCCCATTCTGTTAGTCAGACGAGAAGATAACGCTTCACACATGTGACCACTGCTATGCTATTTGACAATTTGTGAATGCGACGTGGTCAAAAGAAGCCCTGACTCACAGCCCCTCATCGACCGTCAACTCCGTTAGGGTTGTTGATTTTGAGGAGGTTTTGATGAGCTCTTCCAGGTCGCACTGGCCGTCGGAACTTATTGGCCGCGCCCTTGCACATAAACCCAAACGTGATACTCATCATAAAGGTCCTTGATACCGGGCCATAAAATCCAAAAAAAAATGATACTCATCACCAGGCGTCGGTGTGCATGGTGGGCGACATGGCGACGAAGCTGTCGCCGCTGGCGTGCGCGTACGCGAGGGCGCGCGGCGCCGACCGCATGAGCTCGTTCGGAGACTTCGTCGCGGTGTCTGACGTGTGCGACGAGCCCACCGCGCGCATCTTATCGCGCGAGGTTTCCGACGGCATCGTCGCGCCCGCCTACACGCCGGAGGCACTCGGGATACTCAAGAAGAAGAAGGGCGGCGCCTACTGCGTACTGCAGGTGAGGGGGGGCACTCTCGTGTGTACGCTAAAAGTCCCCTTGTATACATATATTATCATATTTAAAATCATTAATCAAATTTTGATGACTCCATGGCACAGTTGCCATGATTGTTATCAACTGTAAGTTGTTGATTTTTTTAATTTGATTAACGAACCAGCTCCCTAATGTAAAGAGATTGGAACATGCGAAACATTAAAAAAATATTTCAAAAAATTTATCCAATTATTTTGTTTTTCTTTCTAGAAATATATGGAAAAGGCACTTAACGTGGGAAGGCACATTGCAGTTTTGCGATGGCCATTTCACTTCGTATGCCATTATACTCGATATCTCTATGATTCCAGATGGACCCGGATTACAGCCCGCCGCTGATGGAGCAGAAAACAATTTTCGGCCTCACATTGGAGCAGAGGCGCAACGACGCCAAGATAACGCCGGAGTTGTTCAAGAACATCGTGACGAAGAACAAGGAGCTGCCCGAGAGCGCAGTGAGGGACCTCATCGTGGCCACAATCGCGCTCAAATACACGCAGAGCAACTCTGTGTGCTACGCCAGAGACGGACAGGTAGCTACTCATCAAAGTGCCATACAAAAACCATGCACATACAGTGGTTCTCATAATGAACAATGAAATACAAGAAACTAGTTGGGTTGGTGCAGAGGCATTGACCACTGCTATACTATTTGACATATTGACATTATATTCACCAAAACACTAAACATGTTAGGTTGAAATAAACACTACTACTATAATAGACAATACAGAATTGACTGACCGCAATCGACACGTGAGTTAATTGCATTTCGGTTGCACTTAAATATTGGCTTCTGATTTTTTCGCACTCAAAAAGCCCTACCTGTTATAGGATTGAGATTACAATGCACTGTGACTCGGTCGAATTTTAGGGTTCGAATTTATTAGTTTCACGGCAGCTTTACCGTGAGCGAGGTTGTCTCCATAATTTCTACGCAAATAAAATCGTGTTCTATTATTTAGAAATATCCCTTTTAAAAATCTATATTTAAAATTAGTTAGTTTCTTTTTACAATCAAAAGTTAAATAAAACTACTAACTGAATAGCAAAGAAAAGCTGCTATATTCTTGACAACGTACCGCGAGGTTTTTGTTAGATACTCCTATGAACTTAGCCGTTGTATACGGAGTGAAATGTGCTGAGCGATGATAAATAAAAAACTTCGTGAATAGTTGGTGAAATGCCAGCATAAAAATGTGACGTACACGTGCGACAGGTGATCGGCATCGGCGCCGGGCAGCAGTCGCGCATCCACTGCACGCGGCTGGCGGGCGGCAAGGCGGCGCTGTGGTGGGCGCGGCGGCATCCGAACGTGCGCGCGATGCGCTTCCGCGCGGGCGTCACGCGCGCCGTGCAGGCGAACGCCATCGACAACTACGTCAACGGGACCGTCGGTGGGTGGCGCCCGTGATCATTTCACACTGTTAGAGTCCACTGCCGAGCATTGTCCTCCCCCACAGACCGCGGCGGAGCACCAACCTAAGCCATCTGCATCCATCGACTTTTAGGTGCGAAGGGGCTGGAAAAACTGTAAAATACACACCCTATGGTTGAAGACATTTAGTCTAAAATGTTAACCATAGACTTGTAAATTATAACAATTCTTGAAGTTACTCTTCTGTCTTTTTGGCGCGTTTGGGAATAATGATGAGTGTGGTAACTTACGAACGTATTAATTTTTATGTAAGAACGCGCAAGCGTCTATGTGAATAAATATATTTTTGATTTTAGTGGAATTTTACGGTGCGCGAGACCTTAAAGCGACAGCAACTTCATGGTGTTACCATGACAACCAATAATAGCTTTTTATCATTTACCTATAAAGTTAATTAAACCATTATCAATTACATTTAATATCTTTTTCACGAACAAAGAGTTAATTTTTTATATATTTTTCTTTTCTTATGCTAAAAAATGTTATATAGTATAAGAAGCATATATACATATATCGTATAACTTTTCACGTGCCTACATAAGTACACAAACTTTTTTTTTATTCATGACATTCTTTGACTCAAGTTAAAAATATATTTCTGAATAAATAAATTATATAATCGGAGTTTTAAAACATGCAAATTAAAATTATTGATTTGGAATGTTACATACTGCATTGTTGTACAACTTTATAGTATACTTTACTTAATTTATTAACATTACAAACATTTTGATTCACATACGATTGAACATGCCAACATTGATCATAACTGACGAACGCATTTAACTTGTGGCACTATGTAGTGAGTGAACATAATAACTTTACCTCTTTTGTGGTTCAGGAACGGACCTTCCATTAGAACAATGGAACACGCTGTTCGAGGGCGAAGCGCCCGCGCCCTTGACGCAGGCCGAGATTGAGGCCTGGCTCAAGAAGTTGGATAAGGTGGCACTCGCTTCCGACGCCTTCTTTCCGTTTAGGGACAATATCGACAGAGCCGTACAGGTTTGTAGAACGTACACTAGTTGTAGGATGGTTAGGTAATCATAAAACGAATTTAGTTTTCAAATTTTGTTGAATTGTAATCATTTGAAATAAAATTTATAAACAAAAAAATTGTATTCACGGCATATTTGAGGTTTGCCATAGAGTATGAGATGCATGAGATGTCAACTCACATTTACGTACGACGATAGCTTGTTATATATAACATTTAAAATTTAACCAAACCTAGCCTAAAGTTAAACAACTGCTAATTCCAATCCATCTGAGAGAAAGTACTTGAAGACTCGGTGTCTGCTGGTATTGATGTCATAATGATATGATAACAGTTTATTAAGTCAATAAAACAGTTTTATCCATCTATAACCTTTTTACAGTGCGGAGTGCAGTACATAGGAAGTCCATCTGGCTCCAATAACGATCAAGAGGTTATAGAGGCCTGCAACGACCACAACATTGTAATGTGCCACACCAACCTTAGATTGTTCCATCACTAATTAAGTTGAAGATAAAACAATAACATTTTTGATACAGTTGTCATTTATCCCACATAGTTGTTATTATTGTGTTAATAATGTTTTAATATGCCTAGTTCATTTCGTATCAATATTTCAACAGAATCTCATAAAATGCTAGATCAAGTAATAGTGTTGTTACACCTAAAAATACGGGGTAGTTAAACCACATACTGATTCTTAAGAGCATGATTGTGTAAAGACAAGCTACACGAGTATTTAGAAGGACGCGTCTTTTTACCAAGACTTCACACAAAGGTAATGAGGACCGTAATTTTCAACGTTTTTCTGTATAAACTAGCACCACCACCAGATAATGTATTTAATACAACTTTGATTATGTATTAAAACAATACTAGCTTACAAGTCAAACGAACTAGAAAATGTCATTATTTTGAAATATACTAAAATATGAAATATTGATTCCAAATGTACTGCCACGCTTTGCCTACATTTTTATGAAACAAAACTGCCTTAGATATAAGGTCGATTGTAGTTCGTTCAAGTAGACACCCCCCCCCCCCCCCCCCCCCCCCCCCACACACACGCGCGCGCGTATTTGCTTTGCTATGCTACGAGTATTATCATTTCATATAATTAATAAACGACCTTATTTTCTGAGCTATAAATTCGATTGTCATCGGCATCGATATCCATCTCACACAAGCGATGCGTTCCAATTTAGAACTAGTTTGCGTTTACGAGTGCGACATGTAAATAATTCTAAATAGTTGATACGCGTTTGTATTCTATTATGATACTTAGTCCTAACACATGTTCAGTAAAACCTGGCGTCAAAATCTGTTACAGTATATGTGCGTATATACAGCGTGTGGTTACCATCGCGACAATAAATGAACACACATATAGGGGATAACTTTTTAAAGTTGTATTAAACGTTTAAATTCTTTAAACATCAATATTTACAGAGTTATTAAATTTTCCAAAACAAAGAATTTTAGAACACCCTTACGTATAAAACTGTAACGTAAAGTTCATTTGTAAAGGTCACAAAGCATATGAATGGGTTGAATGAATTTAAAAGAGACAAAACATACTGTTAGAAGGAGGTGCTTGTAATGCGACGCTGTGGCGCGAGTTATATAGGATGTTACAAATTTTGTTTCTTTTTTACTTAATTAGTTTGTTTGAAAAATATTTTTTTTAATTATGGATTTTGTTAAACGTTAATATTTTTTTATGATTATTGGCTCGTAGCGTTAGACTTGTGTTCATTTATTGTCGCGATGGTAACAACACGCTGTATAACCAGAAGCGTATTGAAATACTTACAATGTATATGCTGGAATCATACAAAATAACATGGTGCTGTAGTTGTCAATTATTACACTTTTTATGGTGTCTTAACACTTATACAAAATATTAAATTATGTTATAAAAGAAAAAAATAAACCTTATTTTACATGCTAAAAGTTATTCATATGTTATGTTAAGGAAAAATAAATGATGTATATTAATTAAAACTTAAATGTTGTAAAAGAATGTTTCACATTGTCAAATGAATACACGGTATTAGGTTTCTATAATTTGTTTATCGTTATCTAAATGTCAACCTTATTTACTCTTTACATTTAAGCAACATACATTCCCGCAAAATGTTTAGATATAAGAAACTATTTTAGTACAATACAAGCTTATATAAATAAATATAGAATATTAAAAAATGATTACGGATTTGCTTCGAATCTCTCTAAATGGTAGGTCTTTAACCTCATAACAGCAGACTTTCCATTTGCAACAAAACACCCATTATAGGGCTGTATCCAGTTCACGAACTGGGCAGGAGTTCTGCGTTCTATAAAACTTATGTATTCATATAGTTATAATCAATAGTCTTAAGGACTGAAAGCAAAAATCAACTAAAGTCATCAAGTAGGACAGTCAATTGCGCGTAATCAATTTGCCCCTCAAATGGAGCTTCGAGCCTAAGCTGGGATTGCAATCGAGAAGGTGACCTACCCAGAGGAAGGAAGAAGGGTTATCAACCAACCTTGCAAACCACATGACCATCCCAGTTTATTTTATAACAATAATCTACTCTTATTCAGATGATTACTTTAAAGTAAGAAATTTTAAAATACTGCGATGTTCCAAAATGGCCAGGAAGCCCTTCCAGAGAAGATATAAACGCACAAGCGGAAATATCCAGTTGGCGGAAGAAGACAGCATTATTTCATCAATCTACATGTGCAGGCTGATTTTTTAGACGTAGTGTATACTTTGACATAATGTTAATTGAGCATTCCCTAATTCAAAAAAAAATTAATATTTTATTTTGACGAGAAATAACTAGAAAAATATCAATTCAAACATTGTTTGTTTATCCCTTTAACGAGTCGTCACCCTACAGATAGCAACAAATCAAACAGCGAACAGCAACGGCATAGTGAGATCACCGACTAGGTTATTGTATTGAGACGGTAAGGAAGGAATTTCTAATAGGGTGTCCATAATGTTTGAAAAAATGACAAATAATCTATGAAAAAAAATGAGGTCACAAGTCCGTACCAAATTCAGATTTAGAATCAAATTCTGCATATGCTCTGTTAATATGTTCGTCGTCTATAAAATCACCCTGTATTCTATTTAAACCCCGCGGACGTATAAATACCCCTATAAATAATTGCAAGTATGCGACGACTGCATACAGTATATAATATATAGTACCTGGAGGACCGAGCATTGCTCGGTTTGTTTTTTTTTTCTTTTGGGAAATCGTGTATTTTGTAAATTATATTTAGATACAAATTATTGGGTAATGAAATATGCATAATATTTTTCGATCTTACCGACGTAATAATAAGAAAATATGAACTGATGTTTTTCACAAAAGAAATAAATTAAAAAAGGAAAAAAAAATAACAAGATAACAAATCGACAAAAAATTAAAAATAAAGAAAGCAATGATCTGGAATCGAAAAAACAGTAAAAAAAATAAGTGTGTAAATGCTCGAGACACGAACCACGGCCTTCTGTTTCGGGGCCGCCCGATTACCGACCGAGCTATTATAACATTTTTTTTCTCGTTGAAATTCACCGTTGTATTCGAATGATATTTTTCATTCCTTGAAAACTGGGACAAAACAAAATTTTCTAAAAATGAAACCTAGCCAGATCGCTTTTTCGCCCCCGAATCTACACACATACTAAATTTCATGAAAATCGCTGGAGCCGTTTCCGAGATTCCGATTATATATATATATACATATATATATATATATATATATATATATATATATATATATATATTATACATGAATTTCTCGTTTAAAGGATAAGATATGCTAATGGTCCGGACAGACTTTGCCCTGTATACACGACTTAAATTCGACAGAAATAAATAAAATATCGTGGACCGAATTGTGTATATAAACCATTCTCGAATTGACCTGAAGACACAAAACAATCGGTCATACACATGTACAGAAGAATTATGTATATAATTAGTAAAAGTTTAAGTAAAAAATAAACAAAAGTTAATCCAAATTAAAAAAAAGTTATCCCCTATATGTGTGTTCATTTTTTGTCGCGATGGTAACGACACGCTGTATATATATATATATACACTTACTTACTTGGCTGGCTCAGCGACCCAAAGAGGATCTTGGCCTCCGACACGAAAAGACGCCACTGCTCTCTATTCTGAGCTGTTTCTTGCCAATTGGCTGATTGGAGAGCTCTCAGATCTTTGTGGACTTCGTCTTTCCAGCGATATCTGGAGCGACCAACAGGACGCTTCCCTTTTGGTTGACCCATATATGCTCTCTTGACTGCACGATCCTCCCCCATCCTCCATATATATACACACATTTATATTTATATACCTATATAATTATATTATATGGTAGTGTGGGGGACAGTATGTACAATAATTGTAAACCTGTATTTTAATAAACATATTTCATTTTCGTATGTATCATCTATGACCGTATATATCTAAAGTTACTTAGATCGTTTAAACGATGGAGATTTGCTATCTTCACAGAAAAAATTGGAAGCATGCTTCTGCTGTCTATCGCTTTAACTACACTTGCAAGAGGGCGCGGGAAATTTATTTTGTCTGTACAGTTTCAGCATAGCATTCACTTATTTAAAATACCACTATTTATTTAAAATACCACATATTTTAGTTTCTATGTTCATTTCTTTTATACGTTCATGTTGTGCTAATACAATTGTTTTTGTTTGATATTTTGTGAAAAATGTCTCTGTGTACCCGTGGAACAGAAATATTGATATTATTACAATCGTTGCAAGAAGGAAGAATCAATTGGATAGTGAATGAATTGAACGCTTAATACCCTTTGATTATATACTTGTCTATATAATCAAAGGGTATTTTGAGTTTAAGATAGTGATTCATACTGTGATGATATTCCTCTACCTTGTTGTTAAATGGCAGCTAACGGTATGTTACTCTCTGAAGCATAACTGTACAAGTTCCGGAAGCTACAAGAATATATGAATAATTATATTATAAACTACAGATACTTTGTTAACACGCCCGGAACTTTTTTAAAATGCCTATTTACACTCTGAGGTTAGATTATTTCTTTCTGAATTTTGTTTACGTTAATATCATATTAGGGACTTTTTGTGACTCAGCTTACTTACATGTCCTTGGTACTTCCCCGAGCGCACGTCATTGCGTCATCGAGTTAGTGAGCACAGTCACAAAAAAATTATTTTATTTAGGGAAAATATAGAGGTAAATACTCCACTTTTTCGTAAACATGGTAGTGGTTCATAAGAGATGTCGGAAATAAAAGAAACGGAATAAAATCATTAAAACCATTAATTTCAACAACCGCCTGCTTGCTTTCATATATGTATAGCATACTATTAACGAAACGGATGTCAGTATTGTATATTCATAATAATAGTATATGAAAAAGAGAATTTTTATTATCAATTATCAAATCAAATCATTTATTCATTGACATACGAAACATGCATTATATCTATCGACAGTCATTTTTTTTAATCTACCACCCTTACCTAGTCACTTAGTTTCTTTTATCTGTTACTTCCTCTAAAGAGGAAGAAACAGATAAAAAAAACTTTGTAGGTATTCTTTATTTTTGTCTTATCATAAGAAAATATCAAAATTAGAATTAATATGGAAGAAGGCTGTCGGAATAATTTGGGAAAGTCCCTGGTAAATTTATGGCAATACCAAATGTTTAAGACATAGGTTTATGACAATTTGATAAATGAATGACAAAGAAAGAATGCAATTGGCAAATCGCATTGTTTTTAGTTTAATGAGAAAGTGATAAATTTCGTGTTTCAATTTTAAAGCAATGAATATTTCATTAAAATTAATAAATTTGTAATTTTGTGTTGTGTTTTAAAATTACTTATTTATGTTAAGCTATTTTTACAAAAGTTTTTTGACATTGTTATCGTAAAATAAGTGCCTAGTAAGAAATTTTGTACATATTTTTTTACATAAGTATATCACCTATGGAAAATGTCCGCCAGCGATAACAGTGAATCGTCTAACTTGGGGTCTCCTTTCTCCCAGTCAGAATCTCCTTATAGTTCCCCATCGCAACAAGTGCCTCAGTTAGCCAACTTTTTGACAGAGCTGTCGTGTGCTGGACAGGCTGTTTCAAAAAATGGAGGTAAATTTGTTACTTTATTTAAAAACAATTAAAATTTGATTAAATAAAATTAAATTAATTGCGAGTATATAAATACTGTATATACATGTATATACATATTTCCTTATTTTAATTTAATCCTAGATTGCTTCTCTATGGGTTTATAATATTTACAACTTAAAATTGGAAAATCAAAATTTGGAATTTTCAACCTGATTAAATGTTCCATAAGATTAACATATATATATTATTATTATTTAATAGCTCATGATTTTTTCAGATAAAGGTCCTTTTCTTCGAATTTTGGAACAACCACAAAATCATTTTAGATTTCGGTACAGAAGTGAAATGATAGGAACTCATGGTTGTTTACTTGGCAAGTCTTTTGCAAGCAATAAAACTAAAACATATCCCACCGTTGAGGTAAGTCTAATTTTATTTAAATTTTGTATACCTGAAATATTAGTTAAAAATTTACATTTTTAAGTTTATCTGTTTTATAATTAATGTATTTATTTTTATGCTTTATGACATTATATGCTTCTTTGGCAAATGTAAATAACTTTAACTCTTCCGTAATTCAATTAAAATAAATTTTAAAAAATAGAGAAAAATCTGTAATGAATTAATCAACAAGCAGAATTCGGCGGTCGTTTATAGTTTTCGAGAAAAAAATATTTAAAACTTGTTATTTTTACTAAGAAATCCACCATTTTATTTATTTCACTTCAAAAGCTCAATACACAGTTCTGCCAACATGATAAATAAATATAGGAAGCGGGCGACATCATACTCGTATCGATAGTCCGATTTTTTATAATTTAATGCGTCACAGAACCGACACAGAGCGAATCCGATTCGGATAGATTAGGTTAGAAGGTTCAGGCGATGTAGGCGACCTTCGATGTTAGGTTATTTTTTTTATGACGGCCAAGAAATATGAGCAGAATTGACATATTGACAACAAAACAATGGCAGATTTCTATAGTAAAAATCACACTGTTTCATTATTTATTTTTTCGAAAACTATAAGCGACCACCGAATTCTGCTTGTTGATAAATTCATTAGTGATTTTTCTCTATCGTTTAAAATTTATTTAAATCAAATTACGCCAGAGTTAAAGTTATTTACATATACTGCTTCTTTTATTCATAGAAAAAATAAGTCATAAAATAATTCAAAGAAAAAAAAATACAGTTTGGAACAAATATCTTTGTGAAAAATATATGACCATAATTATTGGTATAGACTCCATAGAACTGATAATATTTTAAGTTCGTTAGTATACAGTTATCAAAAAGTAACTTATTTAGGGCAAACCTATATAAATTATTTAGTGTATACTGGACATAGACATTTACAAAACCTGATGGGTTGTAGATTCTTTGTCTCACTCAGATCAAATCCAAAAGTATAACACTTCCACTTCAAACCGGTCCTATGTGAGGCCATAGTGCCTGCTGATTTGTTTAAAAACAGAAGTGTGTGGCCCTACCACAACAGTAGAAGGAAAGATGGTTGTATGTACTGATATTATTACTGTGGGGTAATAGTTGTTACTAATCATTAAAATAGTATCTGATTGCAATTAATGGTATATTTACAGAAAACATTTGAATATTGTATTCAAAATTGTTAACATAATTCAAATTAACAGCAATTAGAAAAGTGCGAGTCGGACTCGCACATGGAGGGTTCCCAACCATTATCTATAACAAAATGATGTCTGCTGTATGGGAGCCCTACTGAAATTTTTTATTCTGTTTTTTCGTATTTTTTATTATAACGGCAAGAGAAATAAATCATCTGTGAAAATTTCAACTAGCTATCAAGGTTCATGAGATATAGCTTGGTGACAAACGGACAGATAGACAGACAGCAGAGTATTAGTAATAAGGTTTTATTTTACCCTTTGGGTATGGAATCCTAAAAAGAACGAAGAGTTTCTCGCTGCTATGGGAATCGAATCCACGTCTTCTGGATTCGCGCCCGAACTCTTTAACAACTAAACTAAACGCCTGATTGCCACACTGATGAAAATCTCAATGTCTTTTTTCTACATTACTTTTCTGCATTTCAAGCAATGCTTGCTGCATCTATTGTTATATCCCCTAAAGCATACAAACAATTTTAAATATTATTTTACAATGATAATTCAAACGAGAGATGTCATTATGTTGCAGTATAAAATTTTAATATTTATAGTGCTAATTTGCATCTAAGATGAACCATAAAAACTTGTAGAAAAAAAGACATGTAAAACAATGTAGTAAAAACACAAGAAAAAAACTGTTGTAATGGTGTGATAGTAATGTTTCCAATACCCTCAATGTAAATATTTTAACTAAGTAATTATCATCCACTGCCTGGCACATTCCAGGGCAATTTTAAATATTTAGAATTTTTTTTTTTATTCAATACTGTTTTTACTAACACTAGTTTACTATGTTAAACTATGTTTACGGATTTATCGCTCCTATATTTAGTATTAATTCCCGACGTTTCAAACTCTGCACCATTCACAGTCACGGAATGGACTGAGGCGTTGGACGTCTGAGTGTCATTGTTAATCCAGCCTGGGTTAACAATTTTTCATTTATTAATTTTTGTATCAATCTACGCAGAACTTGCTAATTTTAACTTGTCTTGCAGCAGTGGTTCGTTTGGATTTAGATTTAATTTTATTAATAATAGGATCCCAAGCTGATGTTAGCACCCAACCTTCGTCTCTATTAAAATTTGGGTGTTTTTTTATTTCAATAGCCTCGCGAATCATCCTTGGGAGGAATCGGTGTTCTTTTGCAAGGATCTGTGGTCTGTCAAAATTGTTGGGGTGATTATAGATGGGTGATATATTAATGATGGGTTGGTTTATAGTGTCCTCACATATTGCAGACTTATTTACTCTGTGATGTTTTGAGTTAGCTATATGTTCCTTCACGCGGGTTTCTATAGTTCTTTTTACCCGACTGCGCCATAAGAAGGGTTATATTTTTCGAGAGTTGAACGGCTTGGATTTTAGCTTGTAAGATGTCATTAGATTCATATTTACTGTGTGAGTATACCCAGTGTATAATATTAAAATAAAAAAATTACACAGAAACGCAGTCGGGTTTTTTAGTTTTTTAAATTATATTCTACTTGTTGTTTGACCTATGTAAGAGATCCCACATTCACGCCGGGAATTAAAATTAAAAATAAACGCGATAAATCCGTAAACATAGTTTAATTTAGTGTGTAATCACGTAAATACTATAAATTATTATGTAAAATAGTTACTTTTATTAATTCATTTAAAAATGGCTTTAAAAGTTTTACTAAACACAATCGATCTACTTTACTTTATATATTCTTCCTTAACATTAATACATTTCTCATATCTATGAAATAACTTATTTATATCATTCTAATAAGGAAGCGTAATATTGCCCCGTTATAGTGACACCTCCTTCTTTATAATCAAACAGTAAGATACTCATATATTTCTCAATCCCAAAAGATCGTCGCCATGATTTTCCCAGCCGATAGCGACAACCTTTATTTTTTGGAGGGGTTGTGCCTTTTTTATGTCGCTACATCGACTCCTGCTTTGACGCAGGTTCATAGTGGTGAACCCAAGTTTCATCTCCAGTAATGATCCGGGCCATAACTTCTTCTTTATTCTCTTTGCAGAGCTCCAAAAACCGGCGAGAGCAATCAGCGCGCTCGCATTTTTCTCTCTCTCGGAACACATCTTGCACTGACCTTAGTCATCCCAAGATTATCTATCATGTAGGATGGTTAAAATGGTCGTTTCAGATACTCCAACCATTGCTGTTAGTTGCTTTTTCTTCAGTCGGACGTCTTCCAATACAATTTTTTACTACGTTCTCGATGATTTCTGGAGTGGCGGCCTCCATTGGCCGTCCGGAGCGATGGTAATCTTTAGTGGAGGCCCTAAACTGCTTGAAAAGGCCATGCCACTTGTAAATCATGGTTTTACTAGGGGCAGAGTCCCCGTAAACTGCCCTTAGAAAATGGTTTGAGGTGATTTTCCTTGCTTGGTAAGGAAGTTAATGTCGGCGCGGTATTCAATTTTCTCCATAGTGACAGATTTCTTCCTGATTGACTTGTTCACTGGTCAATAACTCAAAGGTTAATGACCCGATTAGGTTCAAATTTGGCATTTATACCCTTAATGAGTTGTTCTACTAGTGACCACCTGAATTAATTAAAATACTCCCACCAACCACTTCATTCCGCGAACTTTTTGACCGCCCCTCTTATATCTAATATTGTTAGAGCCCTATTGATTTAAATATACAAAATATGTTAAATATGTTCATAAAGTATGTTTTATAGTAGGTCTATGAAATTGTCGTTTTGTATGAAATAAGTTAAAGCATTTTTTTCAAACTCTTTTGTTTCTCCTATTCAAAGTAATCAGCCTTGCAATCGATCATCATCATTGCCAACGTAGTGGTAATGTATTGATGCCCCTCTTGTTAAAATCAGCAGACGGGAGGCAACAAAATCTTCAAGGATATTTTGTACTGCCTCTCGCGAATAGAATTTTTTTCTCTCGGCAGGTCTCGTTTCTCGCGTCGTTGCGCTGGCGATCGTTAATTCCGTGGGGCACCCATTTATCAAGCTTACCTTGCTAATTTGTCGCAAATGGACCAATATTGTTTTGATGCTAATATCAAAAGCCTCTGCTAGCTCGGCTGTGGATTGAGCATCATCAGCTTCCACAATCGCTTCATCATTGTTGACCAAAGTGTCCGTACAACCACGAGGTTCATTTTTCAAAGCAAAATTTCCAGAACGGAACCGGGCACACCAATAACGGGTTGTGTGTTCGTTTGTAAAGTTCTCTGCGTAAACGTTATTGGTGTTACATGCCGTTTGTGTCGCGTTGGTGGAACTCATATTCCATAATTATACGAATTGTTAAAGTATCCATTATGACGAAAAATGTCCAAATGTAATGAAAACATAAAGATAATCAATAAACAAAAGACTGCTTTCGTAAAAAATAATTTCATGTTTGACAAACAAAATTAATTTCAATTTAGAATTCACAGCCAATCAATTTTTTTTTATTGGAATGGCCAGTACTAAGGAAGGGCAATTTCGTAGGCAAAGACCTATTATTAAATACAAAAAACACACTAATGAAAATTGTAATTATTTCTTAATGATGAAAGATTCACTACACAATATCCTTATCGATAATTCATTTCCTCGAAGCTTTTTACAATAGCCATAATCAGATAAGTTTTTAATTTTAATGATATGTTAATAAACCATTTGTGAACTGATGTATAAATAGGTTTAACTAATATTTTTTCCATTTTTTTCATAAGCTAATTGCACTTTCAATTTATTTTCTGATAGGGATTTAAACTATAAAACTATAAACATTATAAAAAAATACATTTGGTATGTTCGTGGAATGTTTTTTGTAAACAATGGTAAAGAAATGCAAACATTTCATTATTTTATTATATTACATGCACAATTAGTTTCAAAATACCATCCAAGAACGACATTCGGGGAATTTCGAAGATCTTAAACCAGACCAGTAAAAAAATTGCTGTCGGGAAATAAAATTTAAAAATAAACGCGAAAAATCTGTAAATCAATTTTAATCTATTAAATTCTATTCTAATTAATAATAGAGATGAAATTCCGGGAGTTGATTAAAATTTTCAGTAAATTTTTTCCCCTTTCATTATTTTTTTTTCACCGAATGAGACCCCACTTTTTTGGGAAGTTTAAGATGAACATATCATTAAAATAAGTATATGATATCTTAAATAAAGTTGTAAATTTTAGCAATTGCTTAGATGCAATTTAACATTTTCATACATTTTCTTTTAGTCAATACGAATGTAATGAACCGTCACGCGTATTTCAATAGCTATAGCAAGAAGTAAAAGCTTTTCAACTTGTGAACTAGACTATTGCTTATATTCGGCAAGCAATGTGTGGCAAGGTGTGGCTTTTCCGATCAAAGACCCTAAGACCGATAAATTCTGATTAGGAATAGGTAGAACTTGTAGAACTCATTGTATGCAATGAATCTTAAAAGTACACCGGGAAATCACAAGAATTAGTAGACTTAGGACATCGAATAGATTTGGTGTCTTCTTTATTTAATAAACATTTCATTTTCTTTTTCTTCACGATTCATTTTCTTCCACCACGTAAGGCTGACGAGGAGATAAAAGATGTAGCTACAATACTAAGTAAATCATTGCTAATACAAGAATAACAAACATTGATATGTACAAGAATATAACAAATATGATTATTCAACTACATATGTAAATATAGTCTGGTAGTATATAAATTAATTGTAATTAAAAAAAAATCGAGTCTAACTAAATAAGCGATTGCTCTGCCAACTTAACTAGTACGTAGTTTCAGTACATTGATCTTACGCAAACAATAGACATACCGAGTATCTTTCGAAAGGAAATGCATTTCAAAGAAGAATTTAATATCAGGGAATTATAGTTACACAGAGAATGAATGTGCTGACAGCATTATAAATAAACAGAGAGTGTTTTGCGCTTCGGTATCTGATTCCCGTCGAATTAGTTGAATTAGTCTTGGTTCATCTCACATGACGCGTTGTTCGTCGTATATTAGTCGTGACACATGCTAAGCGTTGAAAACCTATATAACCTAATCATTCCAAAGTGTATCACTTTCAGTACATTTTTTTAAATAAGTTTTTAATCCCATTATAAAAGAGCGGACCAAGCCATAATCCAGGCAGGAGACTGGAATAAAAAGTTGTTTGAAGTGTAAAGGGTTCTGTCATGGATAATACAGAAATTGTAGTAATTATTTTTTAGATTGCAATAAGTGTTCCACTGAAGAATGATTAACTAAATTAGTTGTGTGCGGGGCTTGATGATCATACTTTTTACTACGATTTTGTGGCGACAACAAGTTAATATCAACTCTAGAACTGGTAGTAATTTTCTAAGCAAGCTGATACTGCTTTACCAGCATTTTAATCTCGACCATTATTTCTCCATAACTTAGCAATATGATGAAAACTGACGAAAAATATTCCTTGCTTATCAATTTACCTGAAGGTAAAACTAGTTCAGATTATTAAACTACTAAGCTTAGGTGCCCGTTTTCTTTCGCAAAAGAATTTAAATAAAATCCGTAAGTGGCGAAATGTGAAGTGGATTCAGTTTTGTTCGACCACAAAAAACCGTCCACTTACTAGTGCCAGTATTTCATTTTTCAACAAAGATAAGCCAGAACTTTTGTCTCTTTTTCTTGAAGAGAATTAAACCCACAACCTGTATCACCAAAGTCTTCCAATAACAAGCCGTATGAGCTTTACCAATATACATTATTCTTTAGAGGGGTTTAAAGCTTCCCCTTCATTTATATTAATGTTAGGACTTCAAAACATATCAGAATTCAAAATGAAGTACACGAGCTAGCTCCTATGCCCTTTATACATCTAATCATATGAGATGATACATAAAAGAGTAGAATTAGTAACTGGATAACTCTCGAACTATTCACAAATATTTTTTCGGCCGTGTTGCGAAGCTTTCGGTCGTCATACTTATTGGCAATTATTTGATTCCATTTTTCAAATCGCAGCTTATAAATTATGCGGGAAAAGCGCGTATAAGATGCCGGCTGGCGCAGCACGACAACCGAGAGGAACATCCCCACAAGCTTCTAGAAGACGACCAGGACAGTGACGTCAGCGCAAAAGTCCCCGAAGAGGGCAGCTATAAAGTCAGGTATGCGCTCCAATAGCCTATAAAATGCAACACCACATACACAACAGCTCCTATTGCACGCATGGGCAAGCTCGACCGGGGACGTATGACGACCAACCAGGAATCAGTACAAATTCCACTTTTTTTCGACGTATTGTACGATTTGTAGTCGCTTGCCATACCTAAACATGCCATGTAAAACTTGCCACATAAATAACTCGCAAATATCCGTTCTAGTTCTTGTTTGATCCCAATTAAACAGTTATTGTTTATTAGCGATTCATCTCATGGAATTTATTTCGTCATTTATTCCGTTTTAGGTTTCCCGGTATGGGTATAATACACACGGCGAAGAAGGATGTTCCGCAATTGTTATTCAAGAAGTTCGAAACCATTCTGAGAAGTAATCCAACGAAATCGTTCGACGAAAGAGCGGTAAGCCTATTAGTTTATACACACGCGCGTAACACTTGTTCAATAATATGCTGTTAGGTATTTGCATAGCGTTGTATTACTGTCGTATCGCCGACCGCGATTGGCCGCTTAGCTAATAAGTAGCTTAATTGTTATCGTTCAAGTGCTTAACCTCGCTTAAACTTAAACGTAACGTAAACATAAAACCGTGAAGTGAACATAAGCGTTATGGAGTCAAATTTGAAGCTTATTAGAACAAGAAGAAAATTATTAGAACTTTCGTGGAAAAATCATGTGTTTATTTTTAAATTCGTATGTGTAGATAACCCGTGATAGCTCAGTGTCCGGGCGCTCGCCTTTAATTCAATATACTCGAGCACCCTGAGTTCGATCCCCGGTGCCAGCACCAACGAAATTGTTAATTTTAAGTACTGACTTATCACGTGCTCAGCGGTGAAGGAAAACATCGTGAGGAAACCTGCATATTTTCGAAATAATGACAAAAAAAATATTTCGAATATATGTGAAGTCCGCCAATCCGCAGTGGGATCGCGTGGGGCAATGATACCCTCTTTACAGAGGAGGCCTTTGCCCAGCAGTGGGACATTAATAGGCTGTCACTTTCATATTTTATTCTTTCCAACTATATTACATCCCGTACCTTATCAATACATGTGTTGGCTTATCGGTTACTCTCGTAAATGATATCGTTTGCTAACAGAATAACTATTCAGCTCAATATCACATTTGTGCCAGAAAATAATAATATAGTTGTCCTTTGTTATTTTTAAATTTTTATATCATTTATTTACATATGTAACTAAAAATTAACCTTTAGCTATTTACCGTATACTTGTAAAACAAGTACGTACTTGATTATACGATTTAAGTAATTAAGGGCATTATGGACGTGAAAATATTAGTTAGAAAGCGAGCAACATTTAAAAGTTAGACAACATTTAAAATTTAAAATTCAGTCAATTAAAAAAAACCGCACAAGATCGAGTCGGACTCGCGCACGACGGGTTCCGTACCAGTATCTATAAAAACGTCATAAAAATCATGTCCGTTGTATGGGAGCCCCACTTAAATATTCATTTATTCTGTTTTTAAGTATTTTTTGTTGTAACGGCAACTTAAATACATATCTGTGAAAATTTCAACTGTCTAACTATCACGGTTCAAGAGATACAGCCTGCTGACAGACGGACAGACAGACAGACTGAGAAGTCTTAGTAATAGGTTCCCGTTTTACCCTTTGGGTACGGAACCTTAAAAAGCATACCAATGGTTACACTTGTATGTAAAATTATCATTATTAATTAACATCTGTAAATGATAACTTTATTACTCGTTGCTTTAGGTGTTATGAGGCACACTCGTATTTGTATGGGATTTGTGTGAATAGCTTTTTTTGCTTGAGTGCACGCGCCTGACTGTAAACTACGTTGCCAAACGTTTGTCGTTTAAATATCCCTCTATCGGGTCCTGTTAAGTTCAGTTGCGTTCATAATGCGCGCTAACACAGTCGCGTTTTCAGACATTCCGCATGATTTCGAACGCGACTTTTACGATTTCCACCGTAAACTTGAACAATGTTTTTCTGCGGAGAGTGCGGTATGTTGAAATTCCTTTTTTTTTAAATGTTTTTAGCTTCGCGCGAAATGCGAAAATGTCGCTAAGAACATCAATCTGAATATAGTCCGTCTGAAGTTTAGCGCGCACGATATTCTGACGGATAAGGAAATATGTGATCCAGTCTTCTCCGAACCCATACACAACATGAGTGAGTAATTGCTGTGTTTTTTTTATCTGTGACAGCACAACGAGCTACGCTGGATTTCCGTCTGAACCATTGCTTCTCTCCAGTTCTTCTCGCCAGTTGTTTTCCATTTTTATTGTGGAATTTTTAATAGATCTTTAAACATCATTTGTATGCTGATCGACCTTATTCCTAATGATGCATGTTAAATAATATAGATTACGCGTGTCCATACTGAGTGGCGTTTAAAAAATGTTCCGCTTTACATTGTATGCGCTATATATACGATTGAATTTGAAAGCTGATATAGACCGTATGAAACGGAAAGAGATTATTACACCAATTGGTCCTATCACCTATCATATTGCCTTATTCCCTACCCAAAATCAAAAGTCTGAATGTTGACAAACGTTACGTTTCAATTCTTTTTCACTTAACTGTGTACCGTTGAAAATTGAAAGTTCAATGTTGAACGCTTCGCCGCAAGTAAATAGAGTCCAGATTCCCTATTTTCAATTTTCGAAAGGTTTGCAAGTGACGCCCGCTCGCTCCATCCGACGTTAAGTGATCACCGCTGCCAATAAACGTCTACAACATTGGGTTTCTGATGCCTTGCTCATCAGGAAAGGGCGACTCAAAAACCGGAAAGTATAATACTATACCTCGCCCGTCTTCTGCGAGGCCGTGGTACTTCCACGGACGAGCCTTCCCATTCGTGCAAGTAGAAGCTGTCGTTTCTGTCCTACAGCTACGGAAGAGAAACATTGCAGAAGTTGCTTAAAAGGCTATTGATGTTAAGTGATTCGCGCAGCCAATAGATATTTACCACCGTATGTAGGATTCCAGTAACGTTGCCAACCTTCAAGAGTGTGTTTGTCTGCTGCCTCTCCAAATGTATAAAAGTATAAATATTTGTACTTTTTGTTAAGCCCTGGGTCTTCTCCCACAAACCGGCCCGTTAACACAATAGCAGAAACCGTTGTTTGGGTCCACTAAAGTTAGAACGGAGCTTCTCTACCTTGCAAATCCCTTATTGTCAACTGATGATTATCGATTGATGATTCTCGATCAACTGATGATTATCGATACCCAGCGATTTTTATTTTTTTTTTTATGGAATATGTATCTATTATTAGACCCTACATGTAGCCCCATACCACCACCACTATTTACGTGACCCACATATAGTTGTTCGCATCTGGGTGTTTGTCCAAGTGAAATTTATGTTCGTAAAACGTCCTTTCAACACAGGACAATGTTATCCTAAATAAGGGCAGTGTTTAAAAAAAATATTTGCCGTAAACAAATTAAAAGACTACTTTAATCACTTTAGTATTTTCTCAATTTCTAACATCAGTGTCTTATTCATCAACATTGCAGAGAGCGCCGCCACGAACGATTTGAAAATTTGCCGCATGAGCAGATGCTACGGCCGCTCAAAGGGGGGCGAAGACGTGTTCATACTCGTAGAGAAAGTGAATAAAAGTGAGTACAGGGCTTCAGCGGTCCCTTGAACTCTCAATCGTCCAGGTTCGACTGTATACAAAATAATAACACTGGTCGATACGCAATGTTTTATTCTGTTTCAGAAAATATAATGATACGCTTTTACGAGCTGAGCGACACCGGCGATGAGTGTTGGTCGGCATGGGCGCACTTCCATCAAAATGAAGTCCACCATCAGTACGCCATAGTGTTCAGGTATGAGCGTCATTCTATTTTTGTTAATACGTAACTTACGAAAAACTAACATTGTAATATATCACCAAAACCCTATAAGTACAATTTAATTTTCATTACATTTTTTTAGTTATTTAATTAGGTAAAGGTATGCGCAATATAGAAATTTTACTTTAAATGATAATAACGATAAATTTTACAATAATGATAATAGCAGATATAATAACAAAACAATCTACAAGTGGCCGTGATAGCTTAGTGTCTGGGCATTCGATTTTAATGTATGTAGGTATATACTCGAGCAAATGGAATTGTTAATTGCAATTTTAAGTGCTGTCTTATCGCGTGATCAGCGGCGGAGGAGCGTCGTGCGGAACCCTGCATCTTTTTGAAATAATAAAAAAATATTTTGAAGACGTGTGAAGTCTGCCCATCCGCAGGGGGGTCGCCTGGTGGTCTATGCCCTTAGTACAGAAAAGGCATTTACAAAGCAGTGGGACGTATAATAATGTAATTATTGTATAGGCTGCTACTTTACTTTTTTTTTAACTTTCCATGAATGGCTGTATTGTAAAACTATTTCGAATATAAAACGTTTTCGGTGTTATGGCTATTGAACGATTGCGATACGTCGCATGTGGAACGATGGGGATGTTTTTAGGAAAAATGGCGGTAGGGGTATTGATGAATTGTGTGTATGGAGAAATCCCCAAGTCGTTAAACTTTAATAATGAATTGGGGTGTTTTAAGAATGGAACGCATTTATAGATGTTTTTAGTAAAAATAGCGGTGTGACTAACGTTGAATTGTCTGTATGTAGAAATCCCCAAGTTGTAAAACTTTAATAATGAATTGGGGTGTTTTAAGAATGGAACGCATTTTTCATATGTTTTTAGTAAAAATATCGGTATCACTAACGTTGAATTGTCGGTATGTAGAAATCCCCAAGTCGTTAAACTTTAATAATGAATTGGGGTGTTTTAAGAATGGAACGCATTTATAGATGTTATTAGTAAAAATAGCGGTGTGACTAACGTTGAATTGTCTGTATGGAGAAATCCCCAAGTCGTTAAACTTTAATAATGAATTGGGGTGTTTTAAGAATGGAACGCATTTATAGATGTTTTTAGTAAAAATAGCGGTGTGACTAACGTTGAATTGTCTGTATGTAGAAATCCCCAAGTTGTAAAACTTTAATAATGAATTGGGGTGTTTTTTAAGAATGGAACGCATTTTTCATATGTTTTTAGTAAAAATATCGGTAAATCACTAACGTTGAATTGTCGGTATGTAGAAATCCCCAAGTCGTTAAACTTTAATAATGAATTGGGGTGTTTTAAGAATGGAACGCATTTATAGATGTTATTAGTAAAAATAGCGGTGTGACTAACGTTGAATTGTCTGTATGGAGAAATCCCCAAGTCGTAAAACTTTGATAATGAATTGGGGTGTTTTAAAAATGGAACGCATTTATAGATGTTTTTAGTAAAAATAGCGGTGTGACTAACGTTGAATTGTCTGTATGGAGAAATCCCCAAGTCGTAAAACTTTGATAATGAATTGTGGTGTTTTAAAAATGGAACGCATTTTCAGGACGCCGCCGTACAAGGGTCCGAAAATCGGGTCAGAAGCGGAGGTTTTCGTAGAGCTCGTGCGCCCCTCGGACGGACGGACGAGCGAATCGGAGAGGTTCACCTACAAACCGGAGTTTATAAACACGATGAGGAAGAAGCGGAAGGCGAATTCCTCCTTCTCTTCCATGGGGAGCGGCTCTGGTGGGCTGTTTTTCCATTATGACCCCAATATATTTTACAGATGCCATTATATTGGACCCCATATAACAGCGGTGGACAGCCCTTACGCGGATGGACGCAAGTGCACTGTTATTGTGCAGTGCTGCTATATTTTCAAAATAAATAGCATCTCTTGAACGAAAAGGGGAAATTTACAATATTCTTGGAGATTGATTCTAGCTGTCTCTATATGATTTAACTTTTAGTCGATATTTGTCAGAAATACAATCACTTAAATTTTAAATCACCAAAAAAGATAGAAAACGCCCACCGCGCTGTAACAGTTTTCCGTTTCAACTTGCTTTGAATAAAGGTTGACCACCGCTATCATAAAGAATAAACTGCTTGCAGGGTCAGTGTTAGTGGACTAGTCGGGCAAACCGAACTTTAATCCTTATCAAGTTCGGTTTTCGTAGAGCATTGGAGCGAACAGAATCGCTATGAAATATTTTTTTTTTTATTTAATAAAAGTTAATTTTAGAAATTTAAATTGTTTATAGTGCTAATCTTTGCACTTAAGATTGAACATTAAAATATGTAGAAAAAGTGCGAAAAGATTGTCGCCGCTGTGGGAATCGAACCCACGTCTTCGGCATTCTTTCGCACTTTTTCTACATATTTTAAAGTTAATTTTAATTTGTTAAGCTACTATTGTTTGGAAATATTTTTTTAATAACTGTATCAAAATAGCGACATGCATAAATGTTTTTATGGTCTGAGATCGCTCAAGGCAAAACCGGTTTGGAAACCCTGTCCGATAGTTTATTCAATATACATGTATAATTCCATATATTTTTGTTATATTTTAGGTGGATCGATCAATAGTTTAAGCGATTTTCCACTACCAATACAAATGATGCAAGTAAGTATATTGTATTCGTAAAATATATTCGAAATATAAAGTAATCGTTATGTATTCTGTATGGATTAAATAAACTCATATAAAATTATTCTTTAGCTGAAGAACGGCCGGGAAGAACCCCAAGATGAAGTCATGACGACGCTCCCAACATCTAATATACCAGTAAGTTAAATTGGGCCTATAATTTATTATTATAACCATCCTTTTTAATGAAAGGAGATGAGTAAGTGAAGACCTCCGCCCATGGACATTTACAGCATCTATGGGGTTCACAGATGTGTTGCCAACCTTTAAAAGACTGGGCCCCTGATAGAGGTTATCTCGTCAGATGAAACTCGAAAGCAAAATATATCTTACATTTGCATCAATCCGTTAATTACTGTCGATTATTCTGTCATTTGTTTGTATATTGGCCGTGTCATCTTTGTTATTCATAATCCTCCGACTGTTTCTCGCTTAGGTGGAATCAGCACAACTTGTGAAGGTCGCGTGTCTGTCAAGTGTCAACCCACAAAAATCCAGTGACAAAAGTCTAGTCTTGCGAAAAAAATCTAGTTACACGAACACTTGACCCGCGCGGGAATCGCACCCACGACCCCCGGTGCCTAAGGCTATGCGCCACATTTATTTGTTGACGTATGGAAAATGACGACGCCCACTTGCCCACATTGGGGCAAGGGCGGTCTGTAACGGACACGCACCGACTAAAACCCCCACGATGTTTCACCCACGGCGCATATTGACAGGGTCACTGACCCTGCCAACGCTGGCCGTCTCAGCTCCCACTCCACGGGTGCAACCCCTACTCCAGTAAAGGCGCAGTGGAACACACCTTCCTACCAATACCCTTTTGGTTCTAGTAACCGACTCTCGCGAACCCGTTGCTCAGAGGCCATGGGAGCCTGGACCCACTGCTAATAGGATCCAAGCCCTTAATGGCACCCAGTGTCCTGGTCTGTGGTTTTGCCGCCCACCAGACCCTCGACTACGGAGTATAGGGAGAACCCCCACAACTTTGCAACATCTACTGTGCAGCCACGCCGAGTAGCGGAGGATAGGAGAGCCACCGAACATAATACCAACCCTCCTCTTCTTTCACTACTCCTCCTTGGTTGCAGAGAAAAGGGAGAGTGGATAGACCTCTACCACCCTGAACCTCCCCATCAAAAGTGGGCTTAACGAGCCCAATTGGAGTGGCCTTCTCTGGCGGGCCTTACGCCATGCCGGATCAGTGTGGGCTTCTTCCGCGACTTCACCTCGGTTGAGGAAAGGCAGAGCAGCTCCACCTATACCACTCTCAACCCGTCCCATCCTCTTCGCTCGCATCCAAAGTGGGCTCATTGAGCCCGCTCGGAGCGGCCATTGCCGGTCGGCATGATATGTGCCTTAAACCGGCTTATTGTGGGTTCCTCTTAGCCTCGCCGTGTTTGACGTGGCAGTGGCATGACAAGGCGTTCGGTCGGGTAGCAATCTGCGAATAAATGGATTGTGGACCATCAGGTTCCCCAGACGTCCGTCATCATGGCGTCGAACGACCTGGTCGCGGACGCGCTGTTCTACGACCTGTCGCCAATCGCGCCCAGCCAGCTGAACGTGGGCCCAATGCTGGGCCAGCCCAACATCCCGGAGCCGCCTGTACTGCAGCTGAACTCGTCGGAGTTAGACCGACTCCTCAAGAACAACTCCGACATGTCTTCCGAGGAGAAGAAGCAGTTTTACGAAGCGGACTGGACAGGTGATCGTTTTTTTAGTACTTTGGTTTGGTATTGGGGTTCAATGCAATTGTCGCGCTTCTCGTTCCAAGCGTTTAAGGGATGGATGAGGGTAGACTGTCGAGAGGAATTTATTTCGCGAAAGTAATATTTTTTTTATATTGAAAGTTGTTTTGTGGAGAGGAAATGAAATACTTTGGAAAAATATAGGATGGCTTTGGTGCAAGTATTTCTCAATGATTGTAACCGACATACATAGGTACACGAGGATCGCATATGAATTAATATCCATAGACATATCTATGAATGTGGATTCATCTGAGCAATGGGAGGAAGGGTGTTGCATGGCGCACTTTCTATTTATGTATTTTAACTACTACTCATACATACATTTTCCTCTGATTAAGAAAGAGTCAGTTACCCGAGCTACAATCAGCTTTTAGACAAAGTAAAAAAAATATTGCGCTACAGTTCTTTGCAAAGGGAAAATTTTAAGATTTGTAGACGTTATATATTTCTTTTCTTTAATAGATATCTCTTCCTTTTAAGCGATAACTGTATTTTGATCGAAACTGTACTTCAATTTCCGCCATCTAATCCCACTAACAGAACCTTAAGGTTCACCTCAATCGCTCCAATCCTTAAAGTTTTATACAAATGACACATTTTAATAAATGTGTCATTGTGTGTATGTAAATATGAAATTATGTATAAGGCAAAGGGGAAGTTCTAGAAGCGACAAAGTTGTTATCACTACGACATACTGCGTCAACATTTTAAATGAACCGTCATAATCTTTTTATTTTCAGAATACTACAATTCATACGGAGACAGTGTAACGGATCGGGTAATTACTTTTCAATCACTTATTCACAACCACAATAGTTAATTCGCTTTCACTGTTTACGACTACAACCAAGGTTGTTGTAGCATTAAATAGTATTTATTGAATACTTTTATAGATATGTAAGTTATTCTCAACTCTGTACAAAGATTTAATCTGTGATTTGTTAAGGTTAAGTCGAAGATTTAAAGTGGTTGTATGCGATTTTAAATTTTCATTATATTTGTTAAAGAAACACACATTGCTTTCGAATGTTAATGTTTATTGATGAGTTTATTGTTTGTATAGGGTTAGGGGCTGAGGGTTACCTCTGACGGTTCAACTAAAACCGTTTGTGAAATATTTGCAAATTTAATTTCTTTTTGTCATTTTTATATCCTGTTCTATGAGATATTTTTTTTTAATATAGATTATATAAATATGTTGTCTTATCGAGACACATAAATTGGTGGTAAAATGTATACAATTATTAACACATTTAAAATTTTATGAATGTCTGTGACATGTGTGAGTTGATTATTAGTTTGTGTGTAGTACCAACACTGAAAAGAGGTCTTTTTTTAATTTCATAGAACCACATTTTTAGGTCCATTTCATTTTACAAGCTCATAATCAGCATTTCCAAATTGTTAAACTTTTATTTCACATTGTTATTGATGTTGTTGTTTTAATTATTTTTTTAAATACAATTCGTATACAGAGGCCTTGGTTTTTTGTATTTCTCCTCATCTCATTATTGCCATTTGCCGACTGGTCGTTACGCGAAAATTGACAAAAGCGGTACTAAACGTTCAATATATTACTTATCGAAAACGTATCAAGAATCTGTCGTATATTCAAACACGCCTTTGGTTTCATCCTCAATATTGATATGACAGCGTTTAATAGAGCATAAAACGCAATGACGTCATAATAGTTGTCCGAGCTTCAGAGGCGTTTATTCTATTTTCATATTCGATGCAGGTCTAAAATGATTATACACATGCAAAGGTGTAATACATTTTAGATTATTACGTCCAGTTTCTGAAACACTGATCATCGTAGAAGTTAATTAATCAGATGTCAAATCGCTTTTCAAATATTATTTGAGTTGCCAAAGGGATTCTTTAACTCTCTTAATTGCTCAGAATGATCTTCTTAATGATCACAGACATTAAGCGAACAACTGGGGCGTAATTACATTATTATGTCAAAAGAATTTGATACAGTCGACTAGCTTGAGAATCGCTTCACTAAATCGTCAGTACACAGGCAGGGCAATTTTACTTATAAATAATTACGAGAATTTCGGACTGAATTCTTGAAAAATTTTTAAACGAAGCATTGCTTCTTCAGTATTGTATGATTGTAACTTGGCAGTCCACATAGACATAAAAAAATGTGAAACGTTTATCTATTGACACCTTCAGGAATATCATGTTCCCTTACATATAGAAGTTTCATGCTGAACTTCGTACGGATTATATTCAAATTGGTGTTGTTACGAACATTCTCGTAATTTGCACAAAGTTAAAAGTAAAAGAATAACAATCTACTATACTAAATAACAATGTTATACTACACGCTTTACAGAAAAACATTGTTCTGGTTTACGGCACTCGTGTAGTGTATTGATGTCGAATAAATAATCACATAGACACGCCCTATGTCTTCTAACAGAGACGCGGGAGTACAGCCCATTATACTGAGATGAACCGGGCATAGCACAAAAGCTATATTTCTTTCGACGAGTACTTAATGTAAATTAATATAACCGAACCATTGTCAAAGACTGTTTGTTGATCCTTGGATATTATTGAGAATATACGGTAGAGAGTCATTATCTTTATAACAACCGATATCGATCACATATAACTTCTATGTATGAAGGACTCTACGGACGCGTAGAGAGCCACTCTTAAACATTGAATAATTAATCATAACATAATGTAAATAGATAACAGCTTGTGGACATGTATACATAAAAACAATTAAAAATAAAAGTGGTTGTTTCTCTGGTGTATTAGCAATGTCCTAATATGTATGAAAGAAACAAATATTTGTTTCGAGAACACTAACCTTGAGACATCCGCTAACATTTTTAGTCGACATCCAAAGTTAATTCAAAATTAATTTAATATTCAAACTGTTTCCCGCTAGGTTGACGGTTGTTGAAACGACTGTGTACTATACTAATATAAGCGATTAAAAAAAAAAAATCAACATCAGTGTTAAATTACAGACCGAACCTCGTCATACTATAGGAATCTTAGAAAAAATAAATTTTTTTCAGATGTTCGGTATTGAGTCCACGGGACTAGTCGCTGATTCTGCGCGAGTTAACGTGAGTATTTTCTAAAGAACATAAAACCATGAGGCTACATTCTATACTCATTCATGCTAATAGTATATTTCATTACGATTGCGGAAAGTCATTGTCATTGCAAAGAGTTCCGACAAATGTCTACCCGAGCCGAGGCGCAGCCGAAGGTGAGGGTTGACAGTCGGAACAAGTTGCAATGACGGTTCCGCACGTGTACTGAACAACTATTTTTAATACAGTTGCCAAAAATCAAGCAACTGTATTAAAATATACTATTTATAAACCTGGAGAAAAATACGTTTTTATGTTTAACGAAGTGACAACTAAGGTGATAAACGAGCAGATGGTTCACGCCATGTTCAGTTATCACAGTCATATCAAAATATAAAAGTATGTTCAGTAATACAAGTAGCTTTTCAATTTGCTAAATTACAATTAATATAGGAGTATAAATACTTCTACTTTATGCATATATTCTGTGTGACAGTCATTCTTTGTAACGTGGCGTTGTTATTCCTACGTTGACTGATGTAAAATTCAATCTACTATTGTTAACGGCCATTGTTTGTTCCTCTGTAGGTGAACAAAAACGCACAGTTTCCGAAGATGAGTCCGATGTCAAGCGAAGAGGACCATGTCGCCGTGAACATTATCAACAAAAAGAACACCGAATATTCCGCCTACTACAAGACTGAAGACGGCATCGAAGTGAAGAAGGTACTTTGATTTAATTTATTATTTAAAGGCTTTCGTGGCTGCAAAACTTAACTGTGAGATGGATAAGTTTCGGGTGTCGCCGAACTTTTTCACCGGTTCTCAAATATTTTTGCAGTAAAACACAAATCATCGTAATTAAGTCATTAGGCCATCAATAAATTCTAAAAACTGAAGTTAAAGTACTGTGAATTTTAAATATCCACCAAAGACTCATTGTCGGATGTGTTGCATGAGTTTCAAATGAAAACTAATTGTTTGTATAAAGTATGGTCAAACCAAATGCAATAGCCGAAATGAGTACTGCGTCCACCGTTCTTACCAGTTTGGAGCTCACTGATGCGTTCACAAGCGTGCAAATGATTCCCAAATGCAAGGTTTTGCGTTTGTATTGACTTTACGTTTGTGAACGCTTGCTCACACTTGGCAAGCGGTTGAACTTCCTTACTAATATTATAAACGCGAAAGTTTGTATGTTTGTTACTCTTTCACGCAAAAACTATTGAATAAAGTTTAATGAAACTTTACAATATAGCTTTTTAATATAGCTTATTCATCAGAATAACGGATAGGCTATAATTTATAAAGATGTTTTGGGAATTGTCCAAAATATATATGTCAACTGAGTGGGAAAAATTCGGCCATCTGCAAGATGGAATGCCCTAGGGCCGCGCGGGCGAAGCCGTGGCTAACAGCTATTACCATATAATTTTCACAAATTTGTATTTCTTATTTGTAACAGTATCGCAATAAAGCGTACTTTTCTGTGCAGCTCGTAAAGGAGCTGTGCGACATGATAAAGAACAAGACCTCTTATAAAAAGCACGTGGTCAGGGAAAAGCTGGAGCGGCTCTTCGACAAGCGGCTCTCTAATGGCGACACGTGAGTTTCGATTCCTAATCCCATTATTTATTAATATTTCTAATGTATATTTTGCAATAGAGCTTAATGCAGACGGTTACCGCCGCCCATGGGTATCCGTAATGCCTGACGGGTGGTGATGCAACGCCAACCGTTGAAAAGTGCGCCCCGGTTACCTCACTTCAACAGATGAAACGTGAAAATATATACTTCCACTTTACGCCGGTCTTCGAAACAGGTAAAAGGTCAAAACTGTATTATGTTTTATATTAATTAATACTGAAATACATATCGATTATTGACCTCGGAGGTTAGATAATACTCTCTCCACAGAACCACGTATTACAAGAACGAATATGCACGTACGTGAACTAATCGAAAGGCATTCGACAGGTTCCTGCATATGATGCTAGCCAACAAACAGCCCAGTTTGCAGTACATTGTGAAGTTAATAGACAGCATGAAACTGACACATTTGTTGAATATAACGAACAATACCGCTCAGTCCATACTGCATCTGGCGATCATTCACGATTCGCCGCATCTGGTCAACTTCCTCGTGTCCAAAGGTGATTTTATTTTTATTAAAAACAAATTCGAAAATAAGACTTGCCTTAAAGGTCTTTTTACTACCAGGCCATAAAATCTTTATTAAAAAAAATTAAAAACAAACGAGGTCTATAAACTTTAGAACGTCACGAGTTCTTGTATAAAACTTGAAACATAAGAACGCCAGATTAAAGATATTTTTGCTGCTATGTTTTTGATATTACATCTATCAACGTTTTCATGCACTGTTTCTAACCCAGTTTAGATTTCATTCTAAACTAACATTGCAAAAATTTCGCTAGGGCCAGGAAACAGTTGTTGCACGAATGGGTTGGTCCGTCCGGGTTAGATCACTTGGTTGGACCACGAACTCACAGAAGACCGGCGTAAATTAGAAGTCTTACACTTCTGCGTTTCGTCTGGTGAGTGAGGTAGACGGGGCCTACTTTATTAAAATATGTCAAGGCATCTGCAACCCTACGAGTGTTGCAAATGACCATGGGTGACGGTTATCACTTAACAACAGGTGAATGGCCAGTTCGTTTGCCACTTTTTCACATCACATAAATAAATAAAAATAAATACGACGATGTCTTCTTTTAATTCATTCCACTCGAATAAACAATTTCATGTATTCTCATATAGATAAACCGTATCACTCTAATACAGCATTATTTATGCCAACTTCGTCTATGTTTTATGTTTTTAGGAGCACGGCGTCAAGGCCTTGTGTTTAATTTTGTTCGTCTTTCACGATCTCGCTGTCCATTAAGACGTTGAAAACCCCGACTTTGTGTATTATGAATGTCGCTGACACATGCCAACTTTATCTAATGATGGTTTTCTAATGTCGTGTCAGTCGCAACGCCCCTTCGTTTGAATTAAACATGTGTTCTGGTTTAAATGTGATCTGTATAAAGGGTTCTGTTAATCTGTATAAAACATTGCTCCAATCATCTATACTTGCTTACAGGTTGCAATCCGATGATCGAGGACAATGAGGGAAATAACGTCTTACACTATGCAGTCATTTGTCAGACGTGTTTGGCGCCATTATTGCAGGCTATAAAGAACAACAAGGTAGACTACGACATTAACGCCTATAACAATGGTGAGTGAAGAAGCTTAATGTGAACATATCTTTAGTTTCTACACAATGGCTTACGTATAATTCACTGCGATTAGATTTTCGGTCCTTGTCTTATTTAAGCGATCGTCTGTTAGAGAAAGCGGATTCAAATTCAAAATAAAATATCTTTCTTATGAAACGTCAAAATTTTACATAAAAATTAATAAGTTAATAAGTTACCATCGGTTCGGAAAGTAGTTTCCTTTGAGAATAAACCGGCAAGTTGCTCTTTTTTTAAAAGTTTAATTTACCATATAATGGTACAGGTGTAAGTCTCATTCATTACAAGCTTGAACGGTAGTATTTCTTTTCCCATTTAACTTTCCCCTTAAATACTACACGCAACAGAAAAGCAGACCGCACTGCACCTGGCCGCTATATACGGCTCCGAAGAGAGCTGCTCGCTGCTGCTCGCGAACGGGGCTTCCCTGCGCACGAGGGACAGCGACGGTCGCACCGCAATCCACCTCGCCGCGTACGACGACTGCCTGCCGGAGATGCGGGCACTCCTCGAACACGCGGAACCCGTGAGTGACTACAGACACGCTCAACACGAACAATACAAACGCAACGCACAATACAAACACAACGCACACTACAAACACAAAGCACACTACAAACACAACGCACACTACAAACACAACGCACACTACAAACACAACGCACAATACAAACACAACGCACACAACAAACACAACGCACACTACAAACACAACGAACACTACAAACACAACGCACACTACAAACACAACGCACACTACAAACACAACGCACACTACAAACACAACGCACACTACAAACACAACGCACACTACAAACACAACGCACACTACAAACACAACGCACACTACAAACACAACGCACACTACAAACACAACGCACACTACAAACACAACGCACACTAGAAACGCAGGCCTCCCGACCTAATTCACTCAACGAACGACACTGCCATTTGCATCTAAAACCTCTAAATGCACTACTAATAAACAACTTTATTTTTTTTTTTCAATGACGACCGCGCTTTGCCCCTAGAGCGACATCGACGCAGTAGACGGAAGAGGAAACACCGCCCTGCAGATAGTCTGCGGCGGTGCAATGAGGCAAAACACTATTGAAATCGTGAAGTTGCTGCTGGAGAAAAATGTGAGTGATGTTTTTTTTTATTAAATTTGTTTAAAGTTCCGAATATCACCTTACTTGTAACAAGAAGAAGTTAAAAGTTCTATATATTATTTTATTAGAATAGATACTGTTAATAGACTAAAAGTTACTTATACAAATTTATATAATTATATACTAGTCAGGTTGAATTCGATCTCCGACCGCAACAAATATTTGTGCTCTCCATAAACATGTCGTTGTCCTTTGTGTCTGCGATTTTTCATGTTTGTGATAATTATGTTTGTTGTTTAAAAAAAGTTATTTTTGTATCCAAAGACCGGTCAGGGCTTGACTACCATCTCACCCGAGGATGTTTATAATAATTTATTTGCTCATTTTAGGTTAGCCATAAGCCAGAAAATGTTAGCCGGTAATTAGCATCTCTATGTTCTAATTTAAAGCAAACGCCCAAAATCGTTAACGGCCCGCTTTTTAAAAGGTTGCCGACCCCTCAGGTATAGCAGATGTCCGTGGGCGGCACTTTTACTTAACATAATATGAACCGCCTGCTCGCTTGGCAACTTTTCATTTGGCATTGGTATTATTGGAAATAAGTTATAAAAACATAGCTTTTACCAATTTATATGGCTAACTCAATAATAACATAACAATAATACTTACCTTTTCCAGCTGAACAGCCTTCCAATAACTAAAAACTAAACCGCGTACGTTGTAAGAGCTGAATTTATAACCCTCAGAAAAAAATACTAACCACTCTAGGGTGTAGGAAATATCACGACGCAGTAGGTGTCAAACCATTAACTTTTATATAAATAATTACTATACTAATTAATGATAAATTATTAATTAGATTAAATATGTACGATAATTATAACACTATACCTTCTCCAGGCCGATCCTACTAAGAAGGAGGATAACAACCAGCCAGCGTGGAGAATGGCGCGCGACAAGCCTGAACTGCTCGCGGTGTTAAAGAGCCACCTGCCGCCGCACATCCTTTGCGAGGACGAAATCAAATCTGAGCCCGAAGACGAATACGAGTCGGCGGACGATGTCGTGAGTGCACTTTACTCCATTAAGCGCAACTCAGAGACGCCAATTAGCGCCTATTTAACATCAAATACTTTGTATTGTTAAGTAAGAGTGCATCACCATTACACATTTTAAAACAGGCGTCCCGTTGTCTGTCTGTCCCGATGTTATGCTTAGATCTTTAAAACTAAGCAAAGAATCTTGACGCTGTTTTTTTTACTAGATAATACATTGCACCCGTGCGAAACCGGGGCGGGTCGCTAGTAACATATAAACCAATTGGATGTAAGCCTCTGTGTGGACGGATTAAGTTGACGATCCACACCTGAACTATTTTACTATAAACATCACATTCATGAATTGACCGTCGTCACAAGTCAAATACAATTGATTTCTCCACTATTTTTATTTACTATAATGTTATCCCACATTTAGGGGGCAAAGAATAGACTACAATAGATCTCTTTTTGTCGTAGTGCTCGTTTGGTCTTCTTTTGGTCTATATCCTACATTATGAGGACAGTTTTTTAGTTTTTTCGGGTCTTGGTAAACAACGCCTACCACACAAAATGCAAACGCGTGTTGGTGCGTTTTTCTTTATAAACGCAGAGAAATACCGAGCATTGCCCGTTCCATAGCTTGCTGAGCGACTTTGAGCTTCCTCATACGCCCAGCAGTGAAGGACCATAAATTAAATTAAACACTAGAAATAAGGACAAATTAATTACGTCATTGTTTCGTCTAAAAAAAAATTAATAGATCGTTCATGGGGCAAAGTGTGCACTATATGCGCAATAAAATCCCACAGTCGATATTAAGTCTGTCACTAGATCAATTTAAACGCAAAATTAAAAGTGAATTACGCCTTAGCCATAGCTAAGGCGTGTTATATCATTGCGTAATATCTTGATGACGCCAATGTGTGGGGTTAATACTGTTGATACTCACGTAGGCTAAAGTAAGATTTATACCTATCCTATTATATTGTAAACTAATCGTTTTAAAAAAAGAGCAACTGTTGAGTTTCTTGCCGGTTTCTTCTCAACAGAAACTGCTTTCCGAACCGGTGGTAGCTTACTTACGAACGTATTGATTTTTATGTAAAATGTTGACGTTTCATAAGAACGCGCAAGCGTCTATGTGAATGAATATATTTTTGATTTGATTTGATTTCGACCAGGAGGCGGACAGCGGCCTTGGCGGCCTCTACCTATACCTGGAGGAGCTGTCGCGCTCGCTCGACCGCAGCGGGGCTTGGCGCGAGTTGGCGGCGCGCCTGCACCACGACTCGCTGCTCTCCTGGTACACCGCGGCGGCGAGCCCGACCCGCACCCTGCTCACCAACTTGAAGGTAGCCGCCGTGATGGTTTCTCTCTTTCCTTTTTCTTTTAACGTGAAATGTTGCCAGACGAGCAGGCGGTTCACCTGACCACATGGGCATCTGCTACACCCGAGGGTTGCAGATGCATTGACAACCTTTTAAAAATTGGGCTCCGGCCACCTCACTCACCAGACGAAACGCGAAAGTATTAGACTTCCACCTGACGCCGGTATTCTGTGAGGTCGTGGTACTTACCCGGACGGGCCTGCCCATTCGTAGTAATCATAATAAATCATTGTGCATAACACCTGCATGTATAATGACTTCTTGTTTATAGGAAATGCTGTTAAATTTAAGAATTTTTTCAATTTATCCAGTGACTGTGAACGCTGTAAAACGTTCGAAACGTCGGGATTAAAAATAAATAGCAAACACGATGAAACCGTGAAATAGTTTTATTTAACAATCCGTTAGTTAGGTTTATTTAATGAGGCCTAGTACCATGACATAGACCACTGTTCGACACCGACCTATTGTTTTAATGCTTCGCCGTACATGCTGATTTACTTAAAAATACTTTTTCATTAACGGGCACAAAGTATGACAGCACCAGAAATCGTTATCGATATCTCTGGGTAAAGCAGTAAAATAAATAAAAAAAGGCTCAAAGCAGTAAAATATTTTACTCTATACATTTAAGTCTGATTTTTATGCGCTTATTAATTTCGACGATACTTTAATTTCGACGATACTTCCCTAAGTTTCGTCTTACGTGAAGTAATTAACACTAAAAATTAAAAATATTGCATTTTATACTTGGGTAGCAAAATCCATTCTGCTAATGTTGACAGTAGTCCTTAATTTTATTTCGCTTATTCCATTTGTGTTTTTATTATCCTTATATTTATTTATTTATGGATTTATTTCTATATACATGTATGTATCTATATATATACAAATTTATATATAGGTATATATACTTATAAATATGTTATATTTTATAGCACATTTATGTTATGTATGAGAGCCGTGATAGCTCAGTGTCCGGGCGCTCGCCTTTAATATACTCTAGCAACCTGAAGTGAAGGAAAACATCGTGAGGAAACCTGCATATTTTCGAAATAATAACAAAAAAAATATTCCGAAGATATGTGAAGTCCGCCAATACGCTGTGGGGCCGCGTGGTGGACTATGCCCTGATACCCTCTGTATAGAGGAGGCCTATACATGCCTATACATGCCCCACTGCTGGGTAGTGGGGCATGTATAGGCTGATACTTTGTTATGTAACCTTTATTTTTATAGTCTTCATTTAGCATCTGCCATCTACTTTTCACCATGACAAGGGTTGGCTGGTAGAGAATGCCTTTAGGCATTAAGTCTGCCCATTGTAGTCCTTAGTATAAGGTGTAGCAATGAAGCTTAAATAAATAAGCCGGAAGTACAGACCAAACTACTACAGAACTTATGAACTTATTATGGTGTTGCTTGCTTTAAAGTGAACATTGAAACTGGAAATCTGATTAAAATAATTCGCTTTATTGCCATTACATATTGTCTACTACCAAATTTTTGCATTGTCTTAATATAGTGCTCACACATTGCATACTTTTACAATTTTACTTGTATTAAACTGATTAATACTTAGAATAATATAAAAAATAGATTAATGCTTAATAGTTAGAAATAGAGCTGAAATATTAAAAAAAATAATTTCTTTTTTCAGGAGTGTAATGAAGACATAAATTCAAAATCACTAGCACTGCTCTTAGAAGACATGGGGCAAAGGGAAGCGGCAAATATTATAAGACGCTACATTTGAGTGTATTTTTATTTTTTACTGTTTTACGTTAATAGATAAGAGTATTTATTGTGTTTAAAATCAAAAACATTGTTCCCCATTTATTTATTATCTTGCTGATGACATAGAATAAATTTGGACTGCATTATGGAATATGTAGTTGAAATATTGGGAAATCCAGAATATTTCTAAACAAGATGTAGTATCAAAAAACTTTCTGTATTGTTTCAGCTTTTTTTATGAGTTTGAATTGAGTTTGTATTGTAATGAAAATTTTATCTTGCTCAAGCTTATTTGTTTCCAATAATTATATTAATTTTACACTTTGAAATTAATAACTAAGCCAATATGTTGTAGTTACATATTATTTAAAAATATAAAAATAATGAATTAAATTGAAAGGGCTGTTGCTTTTTAAAAGAGCAGATTTTACCGTAATCGCCAGTGATGTGTAACATCCATTTCATAAAAAAATAAGTTATTGATTTGTTGCAATACAAACATTATTACTCGGTGACCCAATTGCAAACCTATTGTATCCTCAGCCGGGGTTCGATTCTCATATAATAATTCCGGATCTAGGTGTTTGTTTGGTTAGGCTGATCATAATATACCTAGCCAATATAAACATGAGACATGATTATGTTGTGCCGACCCCACATATCGGATATGGAAAGTAGAAAGAATATGTATGTTATTTCACAGGCAGCCTATGAGCATTCACAATTGAAATAATAACTTCAAATCGATGTTTTTTTTTTTTCAATCAATGAAATATCTTTATTCAAATAGACGCTTGCGTGTTCCTTATGAATCGTCAAATTTTACATAAGCTGCTAAGAAACGCAACAGTTGCTCTTTTTCAAAAAGTTTTGTTATGAACTTAATTGTTCTTTGTTCATAGAAATTACCCGATGACGTTCATGGATATTGTTAAAAAAATAGCAAATTGTTTTTGAAAAAATATTTAGGTCTTCCCAAATATGAGATGATTTACAAGAAATAAAGCATAATACTATTAAAACATAATTATATTTTTGTTGGGTACTACTTGATTTTTGTTGCCATTATTGCATCCATATTTGAGATTGTAATTTAATCGACATTCAAATCATAAATATGGACGCAAGAAAAAATGCTCTTTTATTTTAACTCTTAAGTATAAGAAAGTAATTTTGCAATTACAATTAACATTGATGATTTGATATTTTTATAAGTAGCACTAAGGCTAATGAATAAGTTTTGTAATGACTATGGGATGAATGGATTTATTAAATGTGTCCAAGACAGTGTAAAGAATAAAGTATAATTAACGTTATGTGTTTACTAAAGCCGCATTAATCATCTTTTTATATGAAAAAGACTTCTCGTAGTTCCCAAATATCTCTCATGGCAACACCTGGCCAAAGTAAGCTCAGTTGATGGGAATACAGCAGGCGCAGCTTTACCACAGAGTACTTTTGTATTTAGGGAAAGTGATTACTTTGAAGTATTCACTTACAAGTTTATTCCTATTCTGTTTTGTTGCCTTGTTTAGGATAAATAAGTTGAGCCAATTGTAACCATAGATTCGCACATATTTCATACATTGTTTAAGATTGCGAAGAAATGTCATAATCAACCTAATTATTAAGCTGAGAGGTTCCTTATTATATATAACTAAGTTTACTTTTTCGACCCTACATTAAAATGATTATCGCTAAAACTACGGAAGGATCAGCTAATATGAAATTTTGGTTAAAAGGTCTGTGAATACCTATTGTCTTACGACTCTTTTTCAACAACCAGGTATTGTATAAAAAAGCATAATGCTATGGATTTTGATTGGAGCAGACTTTTGTGTTTCTCAGTTTTGAACTGTGTAACAAATCGTAAAATTTACGTATAATTAATGTTCATACCATTTAAAAATATTTTTGTATTACAATTAAAGGTTGACAACTAAAGCAACTCTTATTTATTTCTAATATTAATAGCCGTGTAGATACTAAATTGTGAAAACGTTAAATTTCTTTTCTAATATCCCATCTGAAATAGAAAATACCTATACTTAACTATTATACAGGGTGGCTTTTCTAAAGGTGCCCTAATTCACACATGAAGTTCAGACTCGGTAGTATAATCGTATTTTTTTTTTTCAAAAAATTGTCATTCTGTTCCCTAAAAACAGAACTTGTTGACAATGCGGTAGTCATTCATAAATACGTCGTATACTTTTGAAACGAACTTGTGTGCTTGTTAGTTATACATGATCGCACCTAAAATAAATCACACACTTTTTGAGATAAGGTCAAATGAATGTAATTAATTAATTACGACTGATTTTAAATATTTATCATTTTTTATATAACATTATTTATGTCTAGAATTTAATAAAAAAATATGGATACACTTAGAAAAGCCTCCCTGTATATGTACATATTATATATGTATCTAAAAGTATCACTTTTTCAATTGTGGTGTGGATATATTTTTAAAATAAAATGTGTTATCAAAAAAGTACGAAAATCATGGATGTGGAATGTTTTTTTGTAAATAGGTGGATATTATTACGTACATACATAATGTTCTCGAGTATGTAAAGCGACGGGAGCGTTAAAACGTTTATTTGCTTAAATAGATGCCGTAGTGGCTCACGTCGACCCAGGCCATTGACAGCCCGTATAGCTTGCTTTTGTCTAAACCGGATGCGGAACCCCTAAAGTAAGACACCATAAGACATTATGATGTGAAAATAAGCATAGTAAACTAATTTCGCTGTTTCCACCTTAGTTAGCTGTCTGATCTTGCGTATGGCAAAGACGGCAGCGCTCAATTTCTTAACTGACTTATCTACATGGAATCCAAGAAATGCTCTTGAATCATCATGGGGTATTCCTGACTCGTGACACAACTTTGATAGAGTAAATCTAATACATTTTGTTTTTTTTTTTCTAATACATTTTGTGGAGTTCAAAAGTAAATTATTGGTAGCAAACCAGCTTGACACAACATCTAGTATTTCATTTGGCCGTTCTAGTGTGTCATCTTTCCTTTTAACTCTAAACAATAGTGATATATAGACAGTGGCGGATTTGCAGTCTTGGCCGCCCTACGCACCAGGTCATGTATTAAGTACCAGCCGCCCCTGTCTTAACGCCCCCTATATAGACTAGGGTTGATGAGGATTCCTCTTCCTCTTCCTCTTAATGCGGAACTTCCCCATTCTTTCACGAATCCTCTTCCTCATCCGTTTTCACAAAATAAATTTTACAAAATCCTCCTCCTCTTCCTCATACTCTTATTAAGAGGAATTTTTAGTGGAAGTGACAAATAATCTGCCGGTTTATTATTATAATTAGAACAGCTTCTTAAAATAGTTTTTTTTGTTTGTTGCATTTTGTGACTAGATTATATTTCATTTATAAGTTTTTTGTAATAGCAATTTCTAATTTTAATGAAGCAATATTCTAAATAATAATGGTTATCATTAAAAAAATCAACTAAATAACTTTTGAAATTACGTAGGTAACCGCAGAATGTCGAGAACCGACCTTCTTTCTCCACGGCCACTCCTGTGGCAGTGCGTGATGAAAACAGAATTTTGAATGCTGTGTTAGTTGATATGCTAAATTCAGCACCTAACAGTGACGATGAAAATAGCGAATCATGCTCACCAATAAACAGACATGCTTTAGTTAAGTCACTGTTAGCTGATTATATTAAAGGAAAGAGATTACTGAAGACAGTCTCTCATGGTGGAAAGTAAACCCAAAATATTTTAAACTTTATGGAGTAATAGGTCAGTATTTATCAGCCTCCGTCAAGTGTTCCCAGTGAACGCCTTTTTAGTGGTGCTGGTTTACGATGAGCTACGAACCCATTTATCAGGAGAAACTTATTAAATTCAATTTACCACAAATAAATTATAAATATTAATATTTAGTTATTTTTGCACTAATTTTAACAAAAAAGTAATAAAACTTTTCCCATAAAAGTAATTTGTTCTTATCTTCAAAAAATACGAAGGTTTTGTTTTAATTGTGTTGTATATTGAATTATGTAGAAGGTATAATAATTGTAATATTAAGCGGAGGTAGTTTAATAAATAAATGAGTTTGTTTGCAACCTTGTCTGATGTTTGTATCTTTTAATGGCGACGAGGAAAATTAATTAATTTATTGAGTAAAATGGCGTGCAATTTGTCTAATGTTGCGTTTCCCGGACAGTTTGATCCACGGACTGATAATTGGAGTGAATATAAAGAACGTTTTTTGTGTGCTTTAGAAGCAACGAATGTAAATGGTGACGACGTAAACAAAGCACGTGCGTTGTTTTTATCACAATGTGGAAAGGAGACTTTTTCATTAATTGTTTCATTATTAGTGCCTAGAAGACCTACTACAGTGGCATTAAATGACATTTTGGCAGTGCTTGACCAATTCTATGAACCTCAAGTGAATGAAATCTTACAATCTGATAAATTTCATAAAAGTCAACAAAGTCAAAGTGAAAATATTCAGGAATATATTGCAGCTATCGGCTCGCTGGCTTCTAGATGCAATTTTATAGACTTAAAAAGACAGCTAAGAGATCGGTTAGTGTTAGGTGTGCGCGACGAGCGGCTCCGATGCGAGTTGTTAAGGACGAAAAATCTTACGTATGAGTTGGCGGTGCAATTGAGCCTAAACTATCAAGGCATTTTTGGATTTGTACCCAGATACAGGGTTGTTAAAACAAACTCCGTCCACAATCACGGAACAGATGGATATTGGTCTAATTAAATTGATCGAGTGTCGTCATTGTGCACGGTCACACAACAGTGGTGATAGATGTCCTTTTATAAAAGCCAAATGTTTTTATTGCAAAAAAATTGGACATATTGCTGCTGCTTGTATGAAGAGACCTAACAGAGTGCACCGGGTGGAGGAAAGTCTGACTTCCAATTCTGGAGATGAAAAACCTGATTACATGATTAGCACATTTGTTTGTTCAGATAATTGCCGATCACCATTGAAAGCAGAAGTAATTATCAACAG